GGACGCGGTCAAAAACAGCACAAGACAAATTGGAGTCTGGACTGAATCACAGCAGTCTGCCCATAAAGGAAACGATGTATGAGAGAAAACGGCCGTTTTGTGCATGATTCTTCTGCAATAATAGTTGTTGCTTTTCCGCAGGGTTAAAGGTGTTATAAAGAATTTCGTCTTGTTTTATCAGTTGGACCCATTTCTTATCAGAATTGAGAAATCTGTCCCGCTATACGCCGTGTAGGCACTTGGGGGAAGAGGCGGTATAGCTCCTATTCATTCTTGACCTCGGCACTAGATGGGGGTGCATGGTTAGTATTACGCCCCGCCGAGCTTTACCCCCGGGAAAGGACCCCGTACCCTTTGGACAGGAGGGTAGGTGGGCCTCAGAGCCGGTCTGGACGCAGGGGCTAGATAGAAAAATTCTTCCCCCGTCGCCCAGTCCATAGTCAGTCACTATACTGACTGAGCTTTCATATTTAACCATACTAAAGGTAATTAACATAACATCGATACTCTTACATGGTCGTTTTGTTTTAGATGCTGTGACAATTTAAGAAAACGAAATTAATGTACAAGTTTATATCTGCGTGTAGTGTGAAATTTATATGTCAGTTAACGTTGTTAACGGCACGTGTATTTGTATCTTCAGTTAACAGGCTTTAGTGGAATTTAATTATTACGTACATTGGACTAGGAACGTTCCAGTACAAACTAATGACAGTACCTTACAAAATCAAGGTTTTTGTGGCCTGTTAACTGCAATCATACAACACTTTCTCTTTCTTCTCATATTTATTTAATTTATTCCTCTCATTATTGCTCCATGATTCTCTTCACATATTTAGTCTCATTTCTCTTTCATCTTCTTGTGAACTCTTCGCAAAACACAAAGCGTTGTCCCCAAATATCGTCCGCCTAAGTTTATCATGTCTCTTCAACATAAGATTTATTTTCTGACTCTTGCCTATCTTATTAAAAGAAGAAACGAGAAAAGTGCAATTACTAAAATGCACTGATATACGTTTAACACTTTTCTTTCTTTGCTGGTTCATTTACTTACCGGAAACTTATTGTAGACAGAACAGCACAGATTCAGAGTGCCTTGACTGCTTTACAAACTGATCAATAGATGCAATGTATAACCTACTATATGTGTTGAAGTCTCTCTTAAGCTGCTACTTTTTACAGAAAAAATATTAATAAAACATAAAGCAGATGATCTTACTTACACAACTTTACTTTCTTAATGTCTTGTTTAAGTAGTGTAAATTCAATATGAGTTAAGTCTGTGATACCGTAGTGGACACATAGGAACGTGGTCATGGAATAGAATTTCGGTCGAGCCAGCATTTATTCCATTCTTTCATGCAGCCATTAATCTACTTTACTCAAAACAAAGAATCATTATGTCAAAAGTTGTGTAATGTTATGTTACCTATTACCACATATCATCGCTGTTTGTTTTACAGGTTGTGGGAAATTAGAAAGTAAGAGTTTAAGGTAGCTTCCCGATGGTACAAAGTTTGTGCCACATTTAATACAAATCTGTCCGGCGGTTCTTCATTTTAGTCCTGCGGACGGACAGGGAGTCAGCCCTGTATGCAGGATTTGAGGTTCTCACAGCTGTGAGTCTTCTAGATTGTAGCACCGTGTAGTCAATCTGGTAGAAGTTTACCAACGTTTCAGAGGCCCTTCCTGCCTTTATCATCAGGGCGAGTCATCGTTACACACAGTAAGACAGCCATCTTGGCCCCGTATGCTTTAATTTCATGCAAAGAATCCATAATGAACGTAAAGAACTACAAATACACGAAGAGGATGTAGGGTATAATAACTGTTGGCCAAACGATGAGACGATGGTTCTGTGATTAGTAATGCAAGCAATGAGAACGGAACTCCTGAACAGCGTTGTCTTGACAACGGTTATAATAATTTATGCACAACACAGGGTAGTTAGCATTATCTAGTAAGGCCGAAAATCCCGTAACAGCGTTGCCATGGCAACAGTTATAATTATTTATGCATAACATACACGCAGTCATAAACATTGCCCTAGTCCTGTATAAGATGCAGAATCGAGAAGAACGCATTTTGAATGTCTTGCTAAAGAAACGTCATGTGTGTGTTTCGTGTAGTCAGGTGATGTACCACGTGCAGGTGGTAGGTCCCTCTTTTATTTTCTTATCTACATATGTGGCTTCAGTTATTTCATATACAATTTCTTGTTTCCTTCAGTTCCTTCTTTTCGATTGGCTCTTCTCTACTTTGTGTTGCTCTGCTTCCAATCTTTGACTGCCTTCAAGGTTCAGAAATGTTCCTCAGTTTTCCCAAGAAAAGGGTCTCAGAGCGTCTTGAAATACATAACCGAATCTACCACGTCACAGTTAATTATTAGCAGTGTTATGGAGGGTCAGGAGCCAGGCACGCTTGACGTTGTGATTTATAGGCCTCGTGCACAAATGTCAGGAAAGAACGTGGCAGTACTCGGCGCCCTTTACAGAAACAGCGTTCTCCTAGTTGATGTCGTTTCATTTGCTCGTAGTTTATTTAACAGCGCTTGGAACAGCTCAGACTACATCGCATCGAATGGTTAATGTATATGGAAGGAAGTGGTCGTGCCCTAATTTTGGATACTACCCCTGCCGGAGGGACTGAGGAAGGCCATGCAAATATGTCTGGTAGCCTGTCTCCGGTTCGAGATTTGAACCCGGGATTTCCCGGCTACGAAGCAGGACGAGACGTTCGATTCTTCATTTGTTCAGATTTTTCTAACTTCTCTCCGAAACATTTTCGGTTCTGTGAATATTTGAACTCTAAAGATGGCATTTAGTTTTCTAAGCGTTAAAATAGGCAGTTGTTGAAATTTTAGATATGTTTGTTGGCAAGACTGATTGCGCGTTGAAATCTTGACAGTTTTTAATCAAAATTTTATCGAGTTGGAGGAGGTGTTATTGGAATTTTCATGTATGTTGCCAGCACTGGTGAGCTAATTGAAATAGGTCGGCGGCTCATTTTCCTTTGTCTTCGCTACCCTATGACTCCCCAGCGAAGAGAATAGACATCCCCAAATGTTGTTGAGAATGAGGTAGAAGGAAAGTCCATCATTTCAAGGAATTACTACCGTATTTAGTAGTAAATCTTCGTGAATTACTGCGGATCCGGTCTACATTTGTGGTATTTCCATTCACTTTATTAATACAGCATATTTGTACACCAATCGCCATGAACCACACAGGACTAGTCTTCATTTCCTGTTGCTAAGTCTTGTGCGTGCAGTTGATCTCACTGTCCTTTTTTCGCCCGTTAATTGTTTGCCAGTTCTTCCTTCAATACTCTGATATTATTATTTATCTTTCGTAGTCTTCAGTTGTAAGGGCAACACTGACATTATTTTTCCTGATGCCTGTATGTCATTCATATACAGTCGGTGAAATCTTGATCGTCTGTATACATTTAGATCATTTGTGGCGAAAATTATTTCTTGTTAAACATCAATGATTTATTCTTCTTCTGTTCGTCAGTACAGACAGTATAAGAACATACTGTCCAACAGCGACTCTTCCTATGACTGGGTGACAGAATGTTGGTCGGGTGCGTTACGTTCCACGATGTAGTGGTGTTCTGGTTTGTGACGCCTTGTGGTCTGTCACAACCCAGAAAACCACATTCAACATCGTCAAAGACGTGAGAATCTCCCTGTCAGGTATATTGATTGACAGAGCCGCACACAGCACATCAACAGTTTTTCCAGATTTATACTCCTCTCTTTTGGAGATAATATCCACCTACTCATCATTCAGTCTGTATCATCAGACTAACCTCTGCGCATGCGTGATGATTGTTCAGCGGAAAGGAGGTCACGTGTGTTAACTATTTTCCACCAACCACCCCCTACCCCCAGTCATCCCGTTCGCTGGGATGAACGGTAATTATGTAGACCTAAAATGACAGGGGTGAGATTACAGGCGGGAAGCAAAGCGACGATATTGTCATGTCGCAATCAATATCAGAACTGTAATTAAAAACCCAGGCGACAGCGCACTGCAACTAAATTCCATTCATTTGTAAAAATGGGCCCGAAGACTCGTCCCTTTTCCTAGCAGACGTCAAAATGTTGTCCAACTCCACCGGCGTTGAGTCACATGCGATCAAAAAAATTCTCCGCTTTTGTATAACCTGAACTTACATCACCGTGTTTTACGATGTCCTGGAGAATTTCTGTCGTGTTCATCGTGTGGCCAGGTTAGGTTATGTTACATGAGGAATGGATAGATTGGGCTGTTTGTTTCCAAGTTCAGAAAGGGCTTCAGTGGCCAAAAGGGCATAAAATCCCCAATGGGCCGTATGGGCCTAAATATCCACGAGGGCCTAAATGGCAGTGGTAGATCCTCAAAGAGACGTGGTAAGTGTCTTCTTATGAATCGCCGATCTGAAAGCCCTCTTAGACATGTTGGAAGCATGTGTGGACCAAAAAGCATGCCGCCAACAATTCCTGCACAAATTAAAAGTCATTGCTGGAAGCTGGATTCACTTTGCCATAAAGTCATTCATTGAAATTTATTTTTAGCTAGTATTTCGAAAATGAAACATTTGCAACCCCATTGTCATAGGAACATTTTTTTATTTTTGATCCTGGAACAGGCACACAAAGTTTGTAAACATACTTCTGACTCATCCTTTATACATGTACAGACAACCAAACTGCAGTAAATTGAAGTTACAAAAAGAACATGATGAAATGTATTATTTTATCAAATTTTAGAATAAATTATGTGGTGCACAAGTACCACCCATGAATGTGAATCTTACAGAAATTGTGCAATATACTAAGTTCAAAATAGTATATATATAAAATAGTAATTGTACAGGGGCCAGAATTTGGTTTTCCACTCCTCAGGGAACAATGTAAATAGGAGCATCTTGTGGTGTAAGAGATGAAAATGGAAATCCATAGCAAAGTGCTTCATTTACAGAAGACAGGTACATGGAAATCACTTAGTTGAACATTAAAGGGATGTTACTACGACATATGTTTATTATATACATTGGTTACAATGAACAGTGTATGATGTAATTTAGCTTAGAATATTATACATAAAAAGCAAACTCAATTAACAATAAGAATTTTTATAAACAAGAATATAAAGCATTTTAACTTAAGTAACATTGTGGTGGTATGTTTCATCATTTAAAAAGCCAATGTGAAGATGGTTGTCTTCTGGGTTGTTGCACCGTGTAGTCTGGTATAAGTTTACCAATGTTTCAGAGTTCCATGCTACCTTCATCATCAGGGTGATCATCAATGCAGGCAGCATGGACCTCTGGAATGTTGGTAAACTTATACCTGACTACACGGTGGAGCAACCCAGAAGACAGCCATCTTCAGACTCACTGCCATGAAAACCTCAAATCTTACTAAAGCCTATGTGTTCTGTTTAGTTCATATCATGGTGCAACAGTGGACTTTCACAGCCATTGCCTTAATGTTGAATGCCAAGCTCTGGGTTATATCAAACTGGAGGTTTTCAAATACCAAAAATTAAAAGGCCACCAAGAGTAACTTCTTAAAAGAAAAGGTGTGAAATTATGCACATTCGTTGTTAATGGGTTCAGAATACAGACAAGTTGTTTTATTATTCTAAACACTCTCTCCAGGAGGATCTGATTTGAAACTCCAGAAAATCATGAGTATATAAAATTCAAAACAGAAATACTTAACTGGGACAACACAAACTGGACCTAAGTATGAAAAATCCACAATTAGGGCTTCATTCCTTTAGTAAGTGTACCTTTCCAGTATGTTGTGAACATTTTGAAATCTCCTGTTTTGACACTTTGATATGTTGTGATTCAGACCATCTGGAACCTTGTTCTATATATACATCCACATTAAACTCATGATCCTAACACTGAGAACTCATTCAACTTCCATGGACTACACTAAACAGAAAGGACTGCTGTGGGGTTACATGCAACCACATGAAGATTCCTATAAGACTTCTACACACATTGTGCAAATTTTATTAACTGCTATTATGTAGATCATGGGAACACCGTAATACTCAATTGCACACTCCAACAAGTAGAACAGAACAACTGCGTTGCCATTTACTGCCTGGAAAAGCAAACTTACCAATTTCTTACAATACCACTAACTATTTCCACGTACACACAGCTTAATTTAGAAAACAGTTGCATTCCTTCTGTATTATTGCTGCATAATTTATTCTAAAAATGCCACAAACACTTTCCAACAACGACATGGCTAGAAGGTTATAGTCACATTAATAATATAAAAGTGGTCTGTATTTCTAAGTGTAGAAAGGATTAAAATCTGTGAGAGACATAAATCAACAATAATGATATTGCCTAGGCATCAGAACCACAGTCCAAAGAATGGAAGTGGACCCCAAGTCTTCAATTCTAAACAGATTAATAATGAAACAGGATGGCCATGTTGTATAAAGTTAAACACAATACTGCATGATTCATTTTAATCCAGTATGATAAAAACAAAGGTATGAGAAACAACATTAGAAGGCATTCAGTTACAGCAGCAGTGTGTGTGTCCTTAATGTTCTCACTTAAAACATTTACTATCATCAAGGCAGTTACAATTTCTATGTTATCATCTTCCAGCTCAGTTTCTTATTAATCATTCATCATTTTATGTAACTTATTACCACAGCTTCTCCAGCTTGTGAACAATATTTTCTTCCCATACCTTTTGAGCACACTATAATATTCTCTGCTAAAACTACAGTGATTGTAAGAATTCAAGATTGTTAGAGGCATAGAAATAATTCAAATCTGGAAGAAGAATATTACAATAGAAACAGGCAAATGTTTTATATGTTCCTTGGAATTTTAGGGGATTTGCTTCAGATGTTCTGAAGACTGGTGTCTTTTATCAACCATCACATAATTTGAAGAAAGGATTCAATTTATTAAACATCCCATGTTTCTGGTTTCTGATCAGTTTCAAGCTAGATACTCAGTTGCTTGTAATTTTTAGTATGCTTCTTTTACTTACAAAAAAAATGGTAATCTGTGCCTCTAGTAACTTCACCTCTAAACTAAAACTTTTGTCACCCCTCAGCTCTACAACTGTAGTATAATGCACGAGAAGTTTACTTTTAAAGCACAGGTTATGTACCAATCAGTGCACTATTTCTCTTATCATTTAACACTTCCTAAAACAATTAATTTTACTATAAATTACTTCCTGTGTCTCATGTTAAGGAACAGATAACAATGTCCTTTCACTCAGCACACTCAAATAAACAAAAAGTATATTTCCAAGTCCTTTTGTCACATTTTTATTTTATTTTCCTTATATGAATCATGCATCATGTACCTCTGGATTTCCTTCCTGAAGATTTATTTTTGATAGACTTCCATTAGAACCAATCACCACATATTGTAGTCTGTATCTTCAGCCTCAAACGTCATAAAGAAGCCAAGCAAAGTTGCATAGACAACCACATTCCCTGCCAGAGTAAGGTAGCAAGCTCCCCACTTTATCTGTAACAAATACAGGCATCTCTGCTCACTAGTAGTATGATTCATGCAGGCGAGTGGTACCCAAGTGCTGATAAATGAAATCCCAACACTCGTACCAGGATTTGAACCTTGTTACACAGGCCTGTAGCTGCCAGTCACTTTACGGACTGAGCTCACACATGTCCATTCAAATCATGTTAATGATGTATGTCGAGGCATGATTACAAACGAGACTCCTATCACATCAAAAGAAACTTCTGGGAAGAACATGACCTCCTTTTTTAAGTCTTTTATCTGTATACAAAAGGTATCAGGTTTTACCTATTTCTGTGCAAAATAATATAAATTAAATATACCTACAGATGTCCAACATGACCTTAAAATTTCATACTGTCATCATGTTTGTAATTTTTAACTCACTTTACGGACTGAGCTCACACATGTCCATTCAAATCATGTTAATGATGTATGTCGAGGCATGATTACAAACGAGACTCCTATCACATCAAAAGAAACTTCTGGGAAGAACATGACCTCCTTTTTTAAGTCTTTTATCTGTATACAAAAGGTATCAGGTTTTACCTATTTCTGTGCAAAATAATATAAATTAAATATACCTACAGATGTCCAACATGACCTTAAAATTTCATACTGTCATCATGTTTGTAATTTTTAACATTATAATATATATATATATATATATACACACACACACACATAAATTCTTGGGAGGGTTTATAAATAAAATGCCATATGAATCTAATAATCACTATCAAAAGAAATACAAAAACCTGAATAAATGTTATGCTGTCTTTGATGATTGATGACTGCATGGAAATACAATACACCAGATGACACTAATGTTACTTCCACCTCTCCAAAGTTCACACAGTGGCCATATTTACATCATCATTAAATTAAAAAGTGAAAATCACTATAAATATAAAATAAGCACAATAAGGTGATAATTCTAAGAGGCAATTGTGCATGTTTGGAGAAATTCAATGATGTTAAACTTACCACTGGTTCATGTTCTGGAGACCTAGCCAGGACAATGGGTAGTGCAAATGAAGAGACTACAAATCCCATTGTTAAAAATATAGCAAACTCATATGCAGCTGTGCTACTGGAGCCAGAATTCTCTATGTAACGTCGAGCTATGAGGGTTGGCAGAGGGGACAGAACATAAAAAAGTACCACAAAGAATGTCCACCAGACTCTGCAACAAAACATGTAAATAAATGCATGACTCAGTATGTAAAATGAAAACTCAGGAAGTTCCAGAAAACAGACAATGAATACAAGAATTTTAGATATAAATTTCACATTGTATTCACAATGAAACAAGTGAAAATATACTTAGTGCAAACACAACCAGGTTCCTAAATTAATGAAGCTGCTGTAAAATATTTTCAAGTGGTCTCAGTTCAAGTCAGGATGCTTCCCACACACTATTTCATGGACTGAACTACTGGAACAGACTGCCTCCTAGTTCAATACCCCTCAGAATTCGAAAATCAGTGGGAAAATGTGGATGGGAAAGGCACAATGGTGTATGTTAATTTAAGGTGTTTGGTGTACATTTCATTTCAAAAGTAGCTGCTATTACTTTGGTCTCTGAGCAGTTTAAATCTGGGTCATGCTTGCGACCATAGAGAATATTTTATATTTCCATCTACCTCCATAAATATATATAACACTGTAATTTCACCTGTTTTGCATACATATGAAAGCTGAATACACAATATTAAGACAGATATTAAGGAAATAAAATCATCTGGCTCAAGATAAGGTACAGTAGAATGTTTTTTGTGAACATAACAATGAAACTTTGGGTTTCATAAAGGGCATGGAGTCACTAACTGGGCAAAAACTGCTTCCTGGAATTAGATAATGTCTTATTCTGGGAATACAGATTATACACAATATTTTTCAAATATTGGATGAGTTTTGTGTAATGGCTAATTTCACACAATCTCAATGAAAACAGATATGTTGACTCATTCCAGTTGTCAAACAGGTGTTCACTTAACTTCAGTGCCCGTCTCAGAAGAAATCTCCATGTGGCAGTACCATCACATTTGAATAAGGGTTAAGATGAAACTTCATTGGCTCAAAGAACTAAACTCATGCCAATCTATCACTTGCTGGGAGCAGAGAACTAAATGCTATCAAGACTTACCACACCACTATTTGGAGAGAATATGTACATGATTAACAAATTCTATGTGAATGCACTTACTTGTAGTCAGGTAAGGCACACCCTAGTATTACTAGTGTCATACCAATTGAACCAGCAAAGGCCAAAGTGACAAGCCTAAAAGAAAAAGAAAAAACAATCATTTTTGTCAATAAGAACAGAAATGTGTCTTGGTACAAAGGTGATGCATCATACTTTAATAGCATTACAACTAAACTGTGATCTGCCAAGATGTACCATTCATCAAGACTAGAATCATCCTGGAATTTCATCAACCAGTTATTGACAAATCATAGCATTTAACAATGAATACGATGAAAAAAAATTAACTTACCCTGTGTGTTGAAGTACAGACATGAAAAAGAAAAGAAATATTCATTACTACAAAACAAGACTGTTGAATTCATGAAAAACAAAACCACCATTAGTTCTCTGTAATTTAATTAATGATTTTCACAGAATGTGACTTGATTTTAGTGAGGCTTAACATGGAAGATTCATGACCTCTATCTTCAGTTCCCCAGACTTCACAGTTGTTCAACACCAATAACTTTTTTGACGTAAATACGTCTCTCCCCCCAAGCACCTAGATGTCACACAGCAGGACAGCTTTACTTCAGTTTTTACTTTTGCTGCTTTTATTACTGTTCTTAATTTTGCTGCCTCTTACACAATATAGGTTAGGAGCAAAGAATGTCAGTGAAGCCAAGTGTCTGTATCAAAAACTAATTTACAGAAATATAATGAGAACAAGTGAACCAGCAATGGCTTTTCAACAGCATGTTACCACGTAAATATACTAAGAGAAACTTATTCTAAATAAATTCCAGCATGGACAGGGCAAACATCGTAACCAAATCAGTCTGCAATGCTACTTAAAATTTACGTCGTCAGTCATTATATTTATGCCATTGAAACTCATTTCATATACAAGTAAAAGAATAGAAACTCGCACATATCATTATACCAAAATAATATACATACTACAATCTTATGACATCATTATAACATTTTGATACAGCATACATAACAGAACCCCCCATTACAAGTACTATCATCATTTTGCAACCCTAAAACATGTGACAAAGCTGCATGAAGTAATATTTATATAAAGTTGATCTGTATTTAAACTTTAGATGTTTAATATATGCCACAAAGTAGTACTAGGTAGTATAATTATGACATTCCCACTTGAAATAAGTAATAATTACCTTTAACACCAGCCATATTTGAAACATATGACAGAAGATGAGGATTACGTCATGAACCTACCCTGTTGCCTTATTTACATTATTTGCCATTCGAAAAGTGTTGATCAATGAAAGTTTCTCACAGTTTCTATATAACATTTTTGGAAAAATGAAATCTCATGATGGTGCAACTTCATAACATACTTAGCTGAAAGTTAGAGGTATTACGCATTTATTTTAGGGTTCTGTACGTTTAAGAAAGTCACACAAGGTCGCCCAATAAGCAATATTTGTATTTCGTATTGTGTGTAAACAAACAATATTTCTTTAAAATGCGAAATCTTTCTGTATTTATGCTATTGCTTCAAACAGTTTATGTTCATATTTCGGGCAGGATTACAAATTATTTGTTTCTCTGACAAAATGGCGTTGGAAAAACAAAATTGTTTCACAGGTTTTAGTACTATTAGATACGGTGAATGTTCTATTAACTCGTTTGTTGTGAAAACCCTCTAGTAATTCATTGTAATGCGTGCACAAACATGTAAATATGTTTATACCATAAAGTTCAATAACTGATGGACTTTAATGGTATTAATACTCTGTGTTTCAGCATCCTGTAATAGATTGGCAACATCGCAAACGCATTGTGTGGAGTCAGGAGATTGGTGATTGCTGTGTTTGTCGTGTATCGAAGTTTTGCGACATTTAGAAGATAAATAATGGCAGAGGGACGAAAGTAAGTAACGCTAAACAGCATTTGAAGTTACCAAATAATATATCGCATGCCAGTTATTTATATATGTATTGTAATGTATATATTGTGGAAAACGTGGTGGGTCCGCAGAAGTTCATCAAATTTACGTTGTCATCTTCCCGTTGCTCGATTGTTTTGGGAAGCCTGCCTGAAAGTTTAAACGTTAACATTGTATTATTCCTTCTAATCCTGATTTATATTTAATTTTCCGTTTTCTTATTTCCAGTTGTAGGATATTCAGATCTAAACAGCGGAATTAACATTTGCCAACAATGGCCCTGGACTAGTTAACGATAAAAAAATCGTTGACGGAGTGGTTGATTAATATAATTTGATACTAATCAATGTAAAATTATCTTAAAATAGGGAGTTATTTGCTTAGTTCTGCAGGGCTAACCGTTCTTTGATCTGTACTTCATGTTAGGTAGAAGGAATGTCAAATTGAGAAAATTTTAAATTTGTATTGTTATAAATGTACTTCAAGGTTTTTGCTTGCGGAAGATGGCAGAGCAAGTATTTTCATTGGAGACAATAATGTGATATTGCAGGCAGTATTCTCCACTGGTGGTAAAATTTAGTGTCTGGGGAAGTAATTACTGTAGTTAGATTTGTGGCCTCTGGTGGTTTTCAACGCTGACAAACTCTTTGTGTGCCATCATCTGTATACTTGAATCTTATCCCAGTTTGATTACAATGCAATAAAATCCACGTGCTGCTGTCCTAGTACATAGGTGATGTGATTTTAAATTAGCCATTAGGTCATTAGAGTTTGGGATAATTCTAGGTGTCTCTCTCTCTCCTCATTTCATCTTTCTGTTCAAATTTTTTCAAAGGCCATAAGGCTGTGGACTATTCATGTAATGGTATTAATAAAATACTGTTTGCCACATAGGAAGTAAACTATTCTGATATGGGAAGTCATATCAAGAACATTGAAAATGCATGAGCTTTGAGGTTTTCACAGTAAAGAATATGTAGATTATAGTCTTTTAGTTGTGATTCTGCATGTTTTTGTAGGGGGAATGGTATACTTTCCATATTTAGAATAGACATTATATGGACTTCCAAAATGTTATTAACTATGTGTGGCATCACAACCCAGAAGATCATGATTATTTCATTTCTTGGGGGGGGGGGGGGCAGAGGAGTTATAGTTCCTGCTCATTCTAGATGGTGGTGATTGGTTAGTGTCACACCCCGGCTGCACTTTACCCCCAGGAAAGGACCCCAGCACCCATTGGATAGGAGGTTGGGTGGACTGCCTACAGACTGGACAACCGGGGTTCAATCCATGATGGGGGCATAGGATTTTTCCTCTAGCCTCTGTGTCCGGACTGGTTCTGGGGCCCACCCAGTCTCCTATCCAATGGGTACCATGGTCCTTTGCTGGGGGTTAAGCACGGATAGGGCGTGATGCTGACCACTCTCCCCCATCTAGTTCTGAGGTCAAGAATGAATGGGAGCTATACCTCCTCTCCCCCAGGTGCCTACATGGCGTATAGTGGGACAGCAATTATACTTTTTTACAAAAATTGTACTTTTATAGAATTTGAATAAATTTCACTGACAGAAGCCATAATTTTTAATCTGTAGTATACTAGATGGATGTTATAACTTTGAACATGATATGAAATTCCCTTTATTACATACTTTGGTAAACCTTCAGATAACTCTGACATGGTTGCAGATCCATGCTGCCTTCTGTGCTTTAATCTGAGGTTGTAATGCATATAAAAAGAAGCTGGTTTTATTATATTGCTTTAAAGCAGAACAAAACTTTTGAGACTAGCTGAAGATTAATGCTAGTTTCAAAAGTTCTTGTTGTACTGTCTTGTCACACATAATGAATTCGTATGCAACTTGTTTTACAGTCCTGATGATTTGGCAACTGCAATTCTGCGCAAAAAGGATCGTCCTAATAGACTTGTTGTCCAAGAGGCAGTTAATGATGATAACTCAGTTGTTGCCTTGTCACAGGTAGGTGTATATTATAAATGCTTATTCAGTAATTACTGAAATGTTTCTGTTTTAATATGAAAACCTGTTCCATGAAATACAATTAGCTGCTCCAGAAAATAAAATCTTACTCCCTTGTCTCTCTTCCCATGTATTTAGCACAAGATGGATGAGTTGCAGTTGTTTCGAGGCGATACAGTGCTGTTGAAAGGCAAGCGAAGAAAAGAAACTGTTTGTATTGTGCTGTCAGATGATACTTGCCCAGATGAAAAGATTCGAATGAATCGAGTTGTGAGGAATAACTTGCGTGTCCGCTTGTCAGATATAGTTTCTGTACAACCATGTCCAGATGTTAAGTATGGCAAGAGGATCCATGTGCTGCCCATTGATGATACAGTGGAAGGGCTTACAGGGTATGTACCTCAGCTGCAACATGGTTTTTCAGAATACAGTGGAACCTCTTTTAACTGATCTATATGGGGGAACCGTAGGTCTGATAAGCCAATAAGTTTGATGAACAAGAGGAAGGGGAACATGGTCATGGATATGAAAAAATAAGTAGAAGACAAAGATATAATTAGCAAAGTTGAAACAAACACATGTAAATCATTGTTATAAATACTGAAATACAGAGTGTCAATACAGATATTTCTCGGCAGATGATGCTGAAGTTTCGCGCACACAAACCGACGGCAAAAGAGTCAGTCGTGAGTGCTGTTCGAGTAAGTCCCTGTGTTAAAATAGTGAATTTATCAGTCATTCTGAGATTTGCTTGCTTGCTGGTAGAAACTGATGCAACCGAGGTGGTTGAAATTCGGTCAGTTAATGCAGGAGTCGGATAATCAAGGGTCAGTTAACGGAGGTTTTACTGTAACTACTTCTGTCAAAAATGAAATTGTTCTTGTTGTGACATCCATTCTTATAAGCTGTAGCTAAATAACTCTTCTATTTTAGAACATTTTTATACCGTGTGGTTATTTTCACTTCAGTACCATTCTGTCTTTATCGTATATAATGCACATAATACCATGTAAGTAATTTGGTTTGTGGTACATAGTTAAATAAACCGACAAAGACAAAATTCTGAAGGACCTGATACAGATTCTTATCTTGGCATTTGTTTTTAGAGTCCCGTAAATTAGGCTACAGCATTTCCCATTCTTGTCTGCCTGTCTGTAATCAAGCTGCCACTTCTCATTTAGTGCTGTATAACATCTCCAGTTGATACAGTAGGGTATTATTAAATAACATGAGAAACCAAGATAAATATTATAATCACATATTTTCTTTAGTGCTGGACAAGGATTCACATTGTTCAATAATTTACTTGGTTGATTATGGGATCCATGATAGGTGGTCTCAGTATTGTTTGCTGTAGACCCATGGCAGCTTTGATCCCAAAACAATGTGAATATTTTATTATTATTGTGCTTTAGCATGAGATCAAACTACCTGATGCAGCTGCATTAGATGTGGAGCTAATATTTTGGAGTTGGTGCCACTTCAGAACAATTGTAGATCTCGTGCAAGTAATGGCCGTCATTTTGATGATTCACCAGAACTGAATATATTGATGCCAGAAGAAGTCAACACATGGCCTGTATTTGTAGTCTGTTTTTACAAATTGAAACATTGTTTTACCCATAAACACAATACTCAAGGTCACAGTGTCTTATTGGTTTAGATTATTTTTGCAAAGAGGTATTTTACAGCAAAATCAAAGTGAACTGAACATTTGCAGTTTGGAAGGAGTTCAGAACACAGAGTAATAAATTTATTTATTGTGTATTGTTTTGCAATGTGAGAAATCACTGAGCTGTGGTTGAGTAAACATGTATGTGTGTCATGTCCTGTTGGTGTATGGGGCATGGATGTAATGCCCTGCAAAGCATTTCATCTTGTAAGTCACATTATTTGATCTTGGTTTATTAAACTTTAGATATGTTGTGGACACACTGAAGTGAGTATTCAGGTCAGTTTCTTTTGTTACATATATATTGTCTGCAGCCACTGATTGTGGGTTATTATAATCACACGCTTGTAAGATTTTTCAGGCTTGTAGGTAATAGAATTAATACAGACTCTTCTAGTCAGTAGAATATAGACTTGCCATTTGTTCAGCATGTGACCAACTCATTTTTATGCAGGAACCTTTTTGAAGTATATTTGAAACCATACTTCCTTGAAGCTTATCGTCCTATTCACAAGGATGATGCCTTCATTGTTCGAGGCGGAATGCGTGCTGTTGAGTTTAAGGTGGTGGAGACGGACCCTCCTCCATACTGCATAGTTGCTCCAGATACGGTCATCCATTGTGAGGGAGAGCCAATCAAGAGAGAGGTAACAACATATCCAACCCAAGTCATTATTAACATTTTTGATTCTGCTCTGTATTTTAACTGAAGATTATTAATCTGAATTGTGTAAATGCTCATGATACAGGAGAATACATCCTTTTAACTTTATTTTGACATTTCCTGATGCCTCAGGTATGTTTGGTATGCACAGCACTTCAAAGTTGTACAATGCTGTTGACAGAAATAGTTACATGTCAATACCTTTCAGTTACTTTGGGATGTGACCTGTTCTGTAAGTTCCTTATCACACGAATTTCCAGCCCAGACTGATTAGACTATTGAAGTAACATTATCTGCCATATGTGGGAGAGTTATAGGGCCATTCAGTGGCACAGTAATACTTCCCTCTCATTGGAAGTCTCATTTTTTGTGTTTGAAAAACAGGTATATTGTTTTACATAGGTAAACATGGCAGATGTAAATAGTGATGGTGAAAAAAGATGTCTACATGTTTTGTCATTCGTATAAGATGTATGCGTTGAAAATACAAAAAAAAAAAAACACTTTAAAACAGCAAAAAGTACTGAGCATGGGGCATTAGAGAAGCATGCAGAAACTCGGTGGTTTAAAGATTAATGCGAGGATGAGATGGATAAAACATGTAATGTGCATGGAGGGGATGAGAGATGCATACACAATTTTTGTCAGAAATCTTGAAGTGAAGAGCCCTTTTGGGACACCTTGTCCTAGATGGGATGAAAAACTTGGAACTGGTTAATAAAATCCAAGCCAAAGTTATGTTTTCAGACCTTAGGGTTGAATTTTTAGTTGGAATAAAGTATGATTCAAGACAAGATTTGTAGAAGTCGGGCAATAAATATTTTACATTTTATTTCTTGTGTATGATGTGTTCTTCAGTAAATTGTTACCAGTGTGTGAAATGGAATCCTCTAATGGTACTCAGCATGACTTATGATTAGTTTCTTGTAGAGAGGTCACCTTCCTATGCTTTGTAAGATGATTTATATTTGAGATGATTTTAGTACATAGATTCAGTTGTTTACACTCTTATCACCATTTAACTTGACAGGCAAGTAGTGTGTGGTAGTCTGATTAATCTGGGTGTTTGAGTTACATTTGCTACAGATGGTGTGCCTGAAATGTTTGATATATTTTATAACTTTCCATAGGAAGAAGAGGAGGCTCTGAATGCAGTAGGGTATGATGATATAGGAGGGTGTCGAAAGCAGCTTGCTCAAATTAAGGAGATGGTGGAACTACCTCTGCGACATCCAAGCCTGTTTAAGGCCATTGGTGTCAAACCACCACGTGGCATCTTGCTGTATGGTCCCCCTGGCACTGGGAAGACGCTGATTGCACGCGCTGTGGCTAATGAAACCGGAGCGTTCTTCTTCCTTATAAATGGTTGGTGAATAAATTGTACTATTTTCTTATTATCAGCATATTGTATGTCAGTTGCATCAGAATTTATAATTATGTGATAGAGATATTTGAAGTTTGTATAAAATAATAATCAAAAATGATGACTATGCAGGATTTGTGTCTGGTAAGGAAAAGGATCACTGTACCTAGCATATTGAAAGCTATAAGCTTGGCTGAGTAAGTTACCATAATACATATTCAATTTAACTCTGAAAATTACTGCAGGAATCTGTGCTTTTATCCAAGGAGAGTTATTACATAATGCTTACACATTTTTATATATATTTTAGGACCAGAAATTATGAGCAAGCTAGCAGGAGAATCTGAAAGCAATCTACGCAAAGCTTTTGAAGAAGCTGATAAAAATGCTCCAGCCATTATCTTTATTGATGAACTGGATGCCATTGCTCCAAAACGTGAAAAGGTAAAGTAGTAATGTAGTTTAAATTGACGTGTCTACCAGAAGAGGTGTGCTGTACCACCAGGTATTTTATTTTCACCATTGTCTTTGTTGCCGAGGTTGTTCGTAAAATTGTATTTGGGAATTGTAAGCACATACATTAATCCCTTCCATGTTATGCATCAGATATTTCACTTTAGCACATTTGTCATACTGGCATTTAAGGAGGTACCTAATAGAAATTTCCCTCACCATATCTCAACAGTTGAAGTTGTTCATGGCTTGTGAACAGTACAAACTGTACAGTGATATGGAAATGTGCCAACATAAAAGGTTTCTTTAAATGAAACCTTGAAAGGGTTAAATATGTGGTGTACAAAAAATGTTACCGTCAGATATGTATTCCTTTTTGTGCTTTTTGTCTATGATTGCCTGCTATTGAGTGTGGCACTCTCCTTTCTGGGGTATCTTATTTAAAGGTATTTATTAATTTTTATATAATGAACCCTTCTGTTGTCATGACTGCAGTGTTGTAGCTGATAACTATTATAATGTTTTAAAATATTTACAGACTCATGGTGAAGTGGAGCGACGCATTGTCTCACAGCTTCTCACACTAATGGATGGCCTCAAACAAAGTTCCCATGTGATTGTCATGGCTGCAACTAACAGACCTAACTCAATTGATGGTGCACTAAGGCGCTTTGGGCGCTTTGATCGTGAAATTGACATTGGCATCCCAGATGCAACTGGGAGATTGGAAATTCTTCGAATTCACACAAAGAATATGAAACTGGCTGATGATGTAGACCTGGAACAGGTATGTACACCACGTTGTATAATGAATTCTTGGGCCACCATCCGTGCTGGGTGGTTTAATGGAGAAAACAACAACTCCAGTACCCTGAGGATGAAGATTGTTCTCAAAATGGTGTCTTCTTCATTAAACTACCTGATGTGGCTCGTAGCCCGAGAAGAATTCATTATACTTAGTTGCGGTGAAAGCTTCAGATCATACTTCAGATTGTGTTTGGAACATCTTATATCATGCTATCCAAAACTTACCAGTAACTTGCTTCTCTACCAACACAATTTCTTGCATTTTTGGTTTTGGTTGGCATTGTTTATGTAAGTCTTGTATCAAAATTACTGGATACAGTGCTACGAAGATGAGTGACGTGTGTTCAGTTCGGTTAGAACCAGAAAGTTCAGACAAAATGTGGGTTATTTCAGTTTGATATAACCCAAGAATAAAATTCCATTTTTGTATTACAGCCATCCATACAGGGCTGCCACTTTTACCCAAAACTAAATTTGTCTGGAATATCACATTTATTGTTTATTACTTCACCAGTGAATTAGAATTTGGAAACGTGAGGCTGTTTTTTTTTGGAGATGCATTTACCTGTGTTAGTATATTTGGCAGAGCTCATAAATTTTAAAGAAACATTTAGAAGTGGTTTGTAATAATAGGGAAATTGTGTCTAAAGGAGCACTGATCTATAATCTCTGGTCATTTCAGATAGCTGCTGAGACCCATGGCCATGTTGGTGCTGACTTAGCTTCGCTGTGCTCTGAATCTGCTCTGCAGCAGATCAGAGAGAAAATGGATCTGATTGACTTGGAGGACGATCAGATAGATGCAGAGGTTCTTAGTTCCCTGGCTGTGACAATGGAGAACTTCAGGGTGAGTACTATGTCTTATTGGATGATAATTAAATTGCCATCTTTACCAGTTCACTTTATGCATGTTTATTTCTGTGCTTGACAGTACGCAATGAGCAAGAGCAGCCCAAGTGCTCTACGCGAGACAGTGGTAGAGGTGCCCAACGTTACCTGGGAGGACATCGGAGGTCTTGAGAATGTCAAGCGGGAGCTGCAGGAGCTGGTACAGGTCAGTGTTGCAGCTACTATTGTGAGAGGTGCTTAAGCGTTTTAAAATTTTAGATTTGTTGACAAGTAAGCAAAACCTGCAGCAAGGAAGATCTGAAACATGGAGAGGTGCTGTATGCACCCATTGCTCTTGAACTTTGCTTCAGATTACATCATGAGGAAGTTCCAAGAAAACAGAGTTTGGAAATGAATGGGACACATTAGCTTCTTGTCTGTGCTGGTGGTGTTAACGTATTGGGTGAGACATAAATAAAATTGGAGAAACATGCAAATTATTTTAGTTACTAATAGGGGAGTTGAACTTATAAATTTGTACTCCTCCCCCAGTATTGTCAGGTTGATTAAGTTGAGAAGAATGAGATGGACAGGGTATGTAGTGCACATGGATGGGACAAGAGGTGTGCACCAGGTATTGGTTGGGAAGCCTGAGGGGAAGAGACCCCTGGGGAGACCTAGACGTAGATGGGAGGATAATATCAAGCAGGATCTGTGGGAGATAGAAGTTGAAAGTGGATTTTGTTGACCCAAAACAGATCGGTGGAGGGCTTTGGTTAACTCAGTGATGAACCTTTGGGTTCGGTAAGCCATTTAGTTAGTAGGGGAGTTGGTTTAGAGGTAAACACAGAGAAGACTATCTTTATGTACTTGTCTCATCACCAGACTATAGTACAGAATCATAACTTGACTTGAAGGTAACTAATAAATCTTTTGAGATCTGGGAAGGCTTGTGTATTTGGGGATGATGGTAATAAACCAAAATTGCATTGATGAAATGAGAGCAGATTAAATTAATGCAGTGGCCAATTAATGACAGCATCCAAAGGTTGCAAAATCTTGGCCATCATACTAGTGGTTACAAGATCGGAATTCACCCTTTGTGTTATATATCCACAAAAGCTGTCTAAAACTAGCATGGTGCACTTGCATAACAAAGGCCACATTTTCCACACCATATTCAACCATTGGAGGTTGAGCTTCTCAGTCATTCATGTTTTTGAACTCTTACAATAATTCCTGGTAAAAATTTGTCTTTTGGGAGGTGTTTCTTTCTCTTCTCCCCCCTGAAAGTTACAAATGGTGGCAGTTTATGACCATCAGCAATGATTCCTTGCATCATAGTGCATTACTGCTTATCCGTGCCTGAGGGTGTATTTTGTAACACACAAAAACCAGCAAAGGAGAAGAAATATGGAGACAAACTCAGTACATCGACTATTTCAATTTTTCTTTCTTTCTCTCTCTCAAAGAAAAGCTGCCAACAATCGTGTCATCATCTGACTGCATTAAATAAAATATGAGTGCATCCCTGTTGGTTCCACACATGGATTCCAAGATCATTGTGTTAGTAGCATCATATTCATATCTCATCTCTGATAGTGTGAATTTACATATGATGTAGATTATGAGAAATTGCAGGGTTGTTTGTCCGTACATAACAATGGTAAACATATTGGATTATGTATGTGAGAAGAATATGGCTGCATTTATCAGTGCATGAAGAATGACTGCTATCTGTTTATCTTGTAGTACCCAGTGGAGCACCCTGACATGTTCCTCAAGTTTGGTATGCAGCCTTCACGTGGTGTGTTGTTCTATGGCCCACCTGGCTGTGGTAAAACTCTCTTGGCCAAGGCCATTGCCAACGAGTGTCAAGCAAATTTCATCTCAGTAAAAGGACCGGAATTGCTTACTATGTGGTTTGGGGAGTCGGAGGCCAATGTTCGGGATGTTTTTGATAAGGTATGTATTTTGACAATGTGATGTTGAGTTGACTGGATTTTAAATGTTTGCATTATCAAATTAAAGCAGTTAGTTGACATACACTATTGAAATCATATGTCTGTCAAAACATGTTGTCATAACAGTCTTATAACATTACTTATCAACAAATGTTACTAGGGTGATTAAATCAAACATGTAGCATGCATGGAAAAAAGATTAAGTGGATTCAAACTTTTATTAGAAAGTCTTAAGGATGGCACCACTTGTGAGAAATTTCTATAGATGAGAAGGTTAACTAGAATGGAAAAGATGTAGGTTGTGGATTGGATGCAGGTCTCATGATTGGGGTAATTAGAGGGACGCTGTGAGAATTGTAATGAACTTCCAGGTGTCATGAAAATTGGATAATTTTTTCACCATCCGGGCAACTATCAGCTTGTCATGAAAATAATCTGTGACTGTATGCAGCAGCAACATTTAGGATTTGTAGCATTTGGGATGCCTGCCCAGACTTCCCTAAATCCTTGATTTCTGCCAGAATTCCTGGTGGTCTGAAAGATATGTAACTTTTTTAGTACAATCACACAAATGGAATTAAATGACAGTTCATATGAAAAACTATGTATCCAGCTTTTTGAAGAAACTTTCTACCTTCTGTGGCTAAGGTCATGGCTCAGCAAATGCACTCTTCTGCTTGCCCTTGATGAGAAAACAAAACAAAAAATTCTATCCATTAATACTCCTGTTCCATTCCCTTTTCTGAGATGCTGAGCAAAACGTTTGTAATTGGCATGGGTATGAGGGTTTTTGTTAGTGTGACGCTGACATGTTTAGATATTGGGATTTAGGAAAATGATTGGAGCAAAATACAGTTTGCCAATTTTTGTTTACCACTGTATGAATGATGCATCAGTTTCATTTTTATTGATTCAACGGGTGTAAGATGTTTAAAGCTGCTAGTTGTAGCGACTCACCTCTTCACTGTGCAGGTCAGATGTAATCACTTGTTTGTCAACAATAATATTCGCAATATTTTATGTCTTGTGTGTGATAGTAGGTACGTAGGTATGGGAGAATTATAGATTCGTGGGTGGGCACAGTACATTGTGTGAAGGAAATGTCTGGCCAGTAGAATAATTTTCAGACCAGTGAACACCCCTTGACTATGAAGTGTGTGCTCCTTCATAAACTTGGAGTGTTGCCAATATCAGTTTTCTGTTTCTATTTTTCACAATTAGGAGGTGAAATTGTTTCAAATTGTTGGTTAGAGTACAGTACAACCCCACTATAATGCGGGGGACGGGTAAACCTGCGTTATAGAGAAACCGCGTTATTACGGGAGTGCATCGGAAAAATTGGTACAAGTACTGTACAGTACGTACAGTATTGATAGACTATCGCCATTTAAGAGTATACATACTTATTTGACTATGTTACGATTAATTTTTACGGAAAAAGTAATAAATAATTAATTTGGCTTGCATTTTAATATACCATACTAAAATATATTATACTATTGTACTGTATTTTTTATTTACAAACAAACACTATGTACATGCTATTTATACACTATTACATGCTTTTTATATATCAAAATTTAGGTGTAAATTTAGCAATATTTTTGTTATCAGCGTCCGTAAAAAAATAATTATGAGAAACTGTATTGTACTTACATAAAATATGTTTCTTAGGTCACTTGCTTTACATTGCACTCTTATACAGTACAATAATACATATTTTGTATAATAATTATACACTTTCAATACTTTTTACGCTACTAAAATTATTTTTTTTCTTCTTTTGCTGCACTATGGGGGACATGAGGTACCCGCATTATATCCAGAACAGCTGTATAGCGAACCGCATTATAGAGAGGTTGTACTGTACTAACATTTGTCAGAATAAAACCTCCAAGCATTACGATATTGAGACTTGAAATGAAGCTGTACAAATTGAATGAACATTTGTAAAGTGGTATTATTTCAGTAACGTATTAGTGTTTATGAAAATACAGTGTCTTTGTGTCTTGTTGTGTTTAGGCTCGTGCAGCTGCCCCTTGCGTGTTATTCTTCGATGAATTGGATTCCATTGCGAAGTCTCGTGGTGGAAGTGTAGGAGATGCTGGTGGGGCTGCAGATAGGGTGATAAACCAGATATTGACTGAAATGGATGGTATGGGTGCCAAAAAGAATGTATTCATCATTGGAGCAACCAACCGTCCTGATATTATTGACCCAGCAATTCTGCGACCTGGTCGACTAGACCAACTCATTTACATTCCACTACCTGATGAGAAATCAAGGGAAGCCATTTTCAGGGCTAGCCTAAGGAAGTCTCCAGTAGCAAGGGTAATAAAGAATTTGCTTTCATATAAAAACCTTGTTGATCAGTTACTACTGTGCATTTTATTTTCATCTGAATATTACAGTGCCAGTACATTAAGTAATCTGTGACCTACAACTTTAGCCTCCCACGGTTCACATTTGTCATGCTGACTAGCAAATGATGCTCCATAGTTATGTGTGTATTCTGTATGTACAGTGTAGAAACATTATTTTGGATGGTAGTAGTTTGCAAAGAATGTCATACTAACTGCCTTCTTAGCTCACCCCGTTTTTTAAAGCATCTAGCCCTCTGTGGACTAGTGGTTAGCGTGCTCGCCACTGGACCCAAGGTACACTTGTTCAGACCCGGTTGAGGTTGATGGATTTTTAAGGGGTGATAAAAATCTGTAGCAAAACTTCCTTTGGAGGGGAAGTAAAGCTGGTGGTCCCATATAGATTTACGGCATGTAAAAGAATCTTATGAGCATGAACAAGATATTTTGTGAGCAAAAAATTCAGCGGCCCTTTCTCACCCATGTCTCTCCTGATTCCTACTAGGTGGCTGTAGGAGATTAAATCAGGATTGAATAGAAATTGTACAGAGGCAGTGGCTGGTCACTGGTCACTCACTATTCTCAAATGCACACTTCAAAGACTAGGAAACTTCTGAAAGGAAACAGCCAAGATCCTCTCTGGGTTGTAGAGCCAAGGAAGAAGAGAAGTTAAATTATGTGAACCATACATTCTGCAGTCTGGTCTTTCTTGTAGATTAGAGACACATTGTGGCTTTGCCCTTTATAGTCTATTGTCAAGATACACTCAGCAAGTTTTGTTCCACTAGGTTTTATGTGAAGGTAACTTTTCACACAATTTTGCATCAGTGTTTTGTTCTTGTGTGAACATTTCTGCCCTTGTGAAATATTTAAGTTTACTGTTTAAGAAATTGCTTTTAGAAATGGAAGTTGTATAGTATAATAATGGAAATCACCACAGAATAAAACAGCTGCATGTTTGTTTCTGTTACCTCTTACCTGTTATTTTGCACAAGGTGGCTGCTTCTGCTGGATGGATCATTAATTGTTGTTATGTTGTCCTTCAGGATGTTGACATGACCTATATTGCCAAGGTAACACATGGTTACTCTGGTGCTGACCTCACAGAAATATGTCAGCGTGCATGTAAGCTGGCCATTCGTCAGAGTATTGAAGCTGAGCTCAGGCGTGAGAGGGAACGGGCTAACAATCAGAACCTTGATATGGATGTAAGTTTCTGATTTGCTTCACATTCAGTTATAAGTTTCTTAAGCTCATCATTATGCAGTCTTTATAATAGCTGACAATTTTTGATAGAGATAAATTCTTCTATGGAGTTGAAGGAGTAAGATAGGAGATGCTCTTTTAGTGCTGGCTTAACTTGATTCAGACATTTTATAGCCTAGGTTTTCAGAACACTACCATTTGGACAGTTTACATTCATTGCAGCATGACAGAAGTCTCATGGCTGATTTAAAAATGCTTGTAGATCTCTGAATGATTTCTATTTCTGCTGGAACTGTACTGACACCCATGTTAATGAAAGAGAATGTTACACAGTAGTGATACAAAAGGAGCAAAAATCAATTTGTAATGAAAGGTGGGGGCACTTAACCAATATATGGGACTGTAGAAACACTGACAGAAGTTTTCTTTGGTGATTTTCCAGTTCCCAAAGTGAAGTAGCTTCAAATTATGAACTTAGGCATAACTAGATACATGTTAAATTAAGAAATGTCGACAGTATTATTATGTGTGCACATCATCATGGTGGTATGGTTTAGGTTCACAGAATGCTTTTGTAGTAGAATTTGAACTTAATAATTGTCTTCTTCATTGTTGCACATTGGCCCCAGAAATATTGTATTTCCTGGATATGATGGAATTATTGGTCTCTTAAATTAATCCCATAACCTTCAGTTTAAAATTGGCATCATATGCTGTTTATAGGAATCTTGTGTATTGAGTCTCTTGTACTTTGACAGTCTCACAGGATCATGTCATGTGTTTCATTGAACTCTTCTTTGGAGGGTATACTGGTAGTTGAATGTAAAAACCTAATAGTTAATTAGTATTGAAGTAAAAGAACATAATGTAGGTAGGAAAAATAGTATATTAATAACTTATTGTGTTCTGTCAAGATGGATGAAGAGGATCCAGTTCCAGAAATAACACGAGCTCATTTTGAGGAAGCCATGAGATTTGCCCGTAGGTCTGTGTCAGACAATGACATCCGCAAATATGAGATGTTTGCTCAGACACTACAGCAGTCAAGGGGTTTTGGAACTAATTTCAGGTAAGTTATATTACACAGTTTTCATACTCATAGGTCAGTGTAACATTTGTAATGGAACACCATTGTTTCCATGATTAAAGTATGAGAAATGATCTATCTTTGAACATGTTAGAAAACCTGTTTACTTTATGGAGTGACAAAACTCTCAGTAAGTGCTGCAAAATGAGATTTTTCCTCAATTGAGAATCTGGGTAACAGCAAATGTCAGCTGGTGGAGAATTTTATTGAGATGTGATTTATAGTAAAACAAAATTACTGGCCAAAAGATCCTAAATCCAGATCCCCCAATTCAGTGACAAACCTTCAGGTTCCCTAGACCATCTAGTTAGCTAGTTGGGTGGACAGACCATTTAAATTCAAGTATGACATTGTTTCAGATTTGTTTAAATATGTTTAAAGCAATGTAAGTTTTGGGGGGAAAATGCAAATGAAAGGAGAAATTGAGAATTAAGTATAGAATCTATGTGACTGATGCAACCTGTAGAAGGGAACACAAATCTGAAGTGTTAATAAAAATACTTGGATTGAACGTTAAGCTGGGAATGGTGGAAGTTAGGTAACAATCTGTGTCTTTGTGTTTATGCTCTGTTGAGGGAGTTGGATTGAGATTATGATGGACAGTTTTTAGAAAAGGAGGAAAAGCAGGAAAAATGGTGAGAGTTAATCCACTTTTTGAGGATTTGAATAGGAGGATAATATTTAAATGCTTTGTTGCAGATTCCCCAATGCAAACCCAGGCAGCAGTTCTCAAGGTGGAACTGGGGGAGATCAGGGAAATTTTCAAGATGATGGAGATGATGATCTCTATAGTTAAGTCATGTGAGTCATGAATAAGTGACACAATTAATCATCATGCATTATCATACAGTTGTAACCAAGTTGAGAGGAACTGTGGCCAACCAGTTTCATTAGCTTGAAGACTGTTGGGCACTTGTTAAGGACACGCCTTTATTAAAGTTTGGTTTGTGTGCAAGAGGTTGCCTGCTAATAGATGAGTATCTTCTTAGTTTTCACATTTGTATTTTCAATATAAATTCTTAACCCCGGTTGTTTTTTGTGGATTTATGTGATGTAACCTGACTTTTCTTATTACCTCTTTATGCTGGATTAGTGGCTGGTTTCAAGAATTTGATGATATTCATGCAACACCTCTTTAAAAAAAGTTTACACAAAATAGAGCCAGTTATGTTTCTGATGTTATTGTGATTTAAACCATATGTATTTATGTTTCAAGTTCAAATAACAAAAGGGTTCCAACTGGAATTGAAAATTTAAGAAGTTTGTTGTGTATTTAAGCAGTCTGATGGTAATTTTAGTGGCATAGAATATTTTAAATACATTTAACTTATTTTAAATGTGAAATACAGCTTTGAGTATAATGAAGTGGATATTCCTAAGTGATTTACTTTGTGTAGGTGCCTAGTTTCAGGCAGGTGGTATGTACTTTATGGATGTAAATGGTTGATTTGTCATCTTGATGCTGATTGAATTCCATGCAATGAGCTGATTTTTGTTCATTGCTTAACATGATGAAAATTTTCTATATGCCAAGTTCCCCAATAAGGTTAAAATAACTTACAGAATTTGTCAGTTTTCCTCATATCACCACTTGGTCACACTGTTCCTTATACTTGTTTCCTTGTCTTTTAGAATCCTTCATTTATTCAGGTCATATTATTCCATTAATTTCCAGATCCCAGTCCGATCCTGTATTAGAACTTCTTCACTGATACAACTAGTGAGAATCATCACTCAGACTAAGTTTCCCTTTGACTGGATCAACAACTACATGCAAGTTAAAAGTTCACATTTTCAGTACAAGATGTCGTATTGAGCTTTGGGTGTAGGGGGCAGACATATTGGCCACTTTACAAAATGTATAAAGACAAGTGTACATTTTTGTGCACTGTTCTGTTGATATTAAATGGATTGTGGAAGGTTCAAATTTAAAATAAAGTCATTATAAAATTTTCTGGTTTGTTCACTATGGTTAAAATATACACTTTCACCTTTTGGCATATTCAGTAAATGCCACCAACAGTGTAAAGCTCACATGTGCCATCTTTGTGGTAGACATCAAAGATCATATGTGGTATTGCTTATTAAAAGGTTATAAATGTAGTGCATGCAGTTGATCATCATTCTATTGATTTTTAGGTGGTAGTTTTTATGCTGAATGGGGAAATGTAATGCATGTATATGTAGAAGTAATGTTGAAATTTCAGTGGACACAGACTGTAAGTAGAGAATGCCATTGCTGCTTTAAACGTGGTTTTGCTGTATTAATAAGCAGTATGCAGAACCCTTGAAGACTTTGAAAAAGTAGGATTTGAGGTTTTCATGCCAATATGAATATAAATAATGGTGGTGTGAGGTTGTGCACCTAGACCACCAATTTTCCTTTGTGTTTGTAATTTTTAATATATAGAAATGTGCAATACAGCATTGGTAGATGACAGTGGTCTACCTGCAAGACTTAGAATATGTTCCCATGCAAAATTTTGTGACCCTGCATTGTCACTTTTTTGGTCCATACAGCTGCCATGTTATAGATGGTAGGAAGTTAAAAAGTCCAAACATCAGATGACCTCTAGTATTATATTGATACCAATTTTCATGAAAATCTGTCACTTCAAAATTAATGGCAGACACCCATATGGATGACATAAAGACCATGTTTCATTATTAAATAGGAAAGTGAGTTAAAAATGCACCCACTGGGCTAAGTTTTAAATATAAAACATGAAAGGAAGAAGGCATGCTAATTAGGCTATGACAATTCAGTGCTATATAGTCCAAGGAACTGAACATCATTAAATAAACTATAAATATAACATTCAGACAGGTGTGCAGTGCTCATGTTTTCACAAAAGTCAAAGAAGTGTGGAGTCAGGACCTGAAACTAGTCCACAGTGAACCCACTAGATAGGGAGACTGAGAAACTGGAACCACAGAGAATTAAATCACCAGGAACAAATTCAACATAAAGTTTATTAGGAAGTCAAAAGCTTTTAATCTTTACAACTTGAATATTTGTGCACATGCACAGAGATTCATACTGCAGGCACATGCAAGTTTCAAGGAAGATGTTGCCAACACTACGCTTGAGATAGGCTAATTCCAGGGCATGTTTTTTTGTGTGATACACATTCATTACAATAATAATGTCTGTAAATTTCATAGTTTAAATTAAGCTCACAATTCATAGATTAAACCTGTGCAAAATTATCCTGCCTACACAGAAGTTACCGATATCAATAAATTCATATTACCTCATACAGATATGTGGTCTGATATAACATTTTAAGACAAAAGGAAGCAAAAACAACACATGAAGGCATGACTTTAAAGTGAGGTTCCATATGTGTCTGTTGATATGTCAGCAGTATTGAGTGCCACATTGAGTGAAACATTTGACTTTGTACTGGCCAGGGCATGATGCTGACCACTCACCCCAAACGCCTACATGGCGTATAGTGGGACAAACTTTACTTTACTTTATTTTTACAGTCTACTATATCAAGATGTTCACTACTATGTAAAACTAGTGTTTAGACAGTCTCTGAATCTAGAAGTATTTCTAGAAATCAGTAATATTTTCTTGGGCAGTAGTTTATGATCCTCACACAGGGTTTAAACATTTATAAAAACAATCTGCAGCTTTCACACATATTCCCCATCAACATATACATAGAAACCAGCTATGACTAGTTCAGTGAAAAGTGCTTATATAGTCATGTTTGGGAGAGTATCATAAATTAAAGTGCATTAAAAATTGTACAGGCAGCATTATGTAATAACTCATTTTAGTATTGGTTTTTTTTGTGGGTACATCTGAACATATATGTTACAGGATTGGTTACAATCAAATTTAAATACTGTGAGTACTTGGCACGAGAAAGCCAGAGAACAGCAGAGCTGTTAAAAACAGCAATAAAATAACAGCACTAAGGGACACTGAAATTCGAATTCAAATAAACGAACTTCTACACGCACATCCTTCTTAAAAACAAATGTACAAAAAGTATGCATCACAATTCATTTTATATGATAATAAATTAAAGAAACTGTCTCTACCATTAACATATTCAACACTTATATTAGTTATTAAAATTAACATTACATTTGTTTAAATTCTTAAGTAAACACTGTTTGAGTCTGGATGTTTAATAAAGCATCTCCGTCAAGAACTAAGATTAAAGCATTCCACGAAAAAATAACAATCACAGGTCTTTTGCTATTCTTCAAGCAAGTCTTGGCACATAAAGTGGTAAATTGTTGAGTTGTACATACAATATTATAAAAAAGCCTCTAACTTTTATTTTGCATCTCATAAATTGGCCAAAATTTATATAAAAAACTATGCACAGCATTTTGTTTTAGGAATGAAATGTTGACTTTGTCAATTTAACTATCAAGCATGACTAAGGCTTACTTCTAGGGCAACTGTAGTAATGGTTAAAACTTAGTTCCAACAAATCATCAGAGCACAACATGAAATTCTTGACAGAAAAACTTCTATCAAAATACTGGATGACATCAAATTTTCTCAATGACGGGATGATGATCCCACTAAATAAAGATGCACATACCATTTTTTAAATATATAAATACATCTGTCAAATTATAGAAAGTTTATGGCAATGAGAATCATTATAAGAGTATTGTGCAAGTGAACTGATTTCCAGCATCATCTCAAAGATGAGTATTCTGCAAGTTCTTTACAATCAGAAGCACTTAATACTGACATACACTGCAACAAGTTACAGCAACCATTTCCCAAAAACTCAGGGCAAGGGTTAAAAAACTAATTAAATCAGAAAATTGTATACCACTTAAATAGTCTGACAGGATTTCTAATGCAGCAAAATTAAGAAAGTGTGCCTTTCTGGAGATGCACGACTAGTACAAACACTTATGTCATTGTTGGTTTAATATTATTGCACTGCACACCTCTTTCCAAAATCCATTTTTCTCCATTTCATATTTCTTTGTACTTTAAAAAGCTTTCAGGTAAAATTTTGCACTGGTCTTGATAATGTTTAGAATGTAGCAGTATTATGCAGTACCATGGCCAAACCTTTCATTACAAATTATAACGTACGTTCGCCAGGGTGTGTTCTAGTGTGACTTACACAAGAACAACAAAATTCTGTTTATGCAATATGCCACATACAAGTACGTGGTTAACCACATAAACGAATTATGTAATGGAATGTGTGTTTATGAAATGTGATTTTATCGGTTTTGAAACCAGTCTTGTGGAGAAATGTTGGTAACCACCTACAAGACTACAGAGCATCACAGTCCAGCAGACCACAATCCATATATTCAATGCTGTGAAAACCTCAAATCTACAATGTGCATATAACTTTTTTAATAACCTTAAATTTTTTTGGTGCCTAAATTAAAACTTGGTTTTCATATTTTATTATAATCTTAGATAAATGTGTCCTATTGTAGGCAAAAATATTGCACTAGTTTGCTTTGATGGACAAATTATGTCAAAAGACTAAAAATGTGAAATTTTTATACCACACCATATCCTTACAAATGAATGTTTGAGATGTGTCCAAGACAGTATTAGCCACACTTCAGACATACTGGCACCTACCACCATACATACACATCTCTGATGCAGCATTTTAGTTTAGAAATTCATGTCAGTGTTTAGAATAAATAATGAAGGAGTCAACATAGTATGAAAATAGGTACATTTAGAAGGACTATAAGCTAGAAATGTTATTTTTTCATCGAATATCAGTGACATTGGTCTTGGAACCAAAGATCCGTACGATCTGATCTTCATAGTCATCTATGTTTCTTTTCATTATGTTCATGCATGGTCCCAACAGTCTCTCAAAAGCTTCCACATCAAGGACTGTAACATAAAAATCAGACAGGAATAAGACATGCACAACAGAGATAAAGCAGTGTCCATGTGTACAACAATTCTGTCTGAGAAATACATAAAGTATTTCGAGTTCACTTCTTTCCCACTCCTTCCTTTCAGACAACATAAAGTACTACACTGCACATTCTATGCTCAAATCCTCTTGTACTCACAAGCCAATTTCATGTTTCCAACTGCATATGCCGAAGCTGCCCGAGGCTTGTGGGTCACCAGTGCCAGTTCCCCAAAGTATCCTCCCTTTGAGATACGATTGATCTGAAGAAGAAAAAGAGGTCAGTCCCTCATAGCAGGAACTTCTAAATTACACACAGCTGCTACACCTTCCTACAGCCCAAGCAATAACTTTATCAAACCAAATGAAAATGCAGTGAACAGTGACTACACATTTTCCATATGCAGGTGAAGATAAAAGACGTGTATTAAATATGGTGGTGTATATTACTTGACACAGGTGAAAACATAAGCCTGATAAACATTGTAGGTTAAGTGCATGTAGTCTTCTATGCAGTACAGACATATTTTCACGTAAATGTTAACAGAATTAACAATGCATATGAACAATGATATGGAAACCAATTTTTTTATTATTATTTCTTGAGTTCTTTCTCTAGTCCACTGAAGTTTAATGCTAGTAATGCTTAGTGCTTTAGTGCTAGCATCCACATTAAGTTTCAACATATGTGAGAACTTTTATGTTATTGGCTAATAAGTAGTTTTGTCCCTTGTAACTTTTCTGAAGCATGCAGCATCTACCTCCACTTCTTGACCGTTATCTCCAGTGATTGTAATTTTCACACTTCCTTCTTCCAGAAAGTACATTCCATCAGCTGAATCTCCCTGCTTTATGATCATTTGTCCATCAGAATATTGGCGTGGAACCAGGGCATCTGCAAGGTTCATGCGCTCATATGCCTGGATGATGAAACAAAGTTACTTTCTTTAGCATTCTGTGGCTGAGGGTGTAAAAGTCTCTTACAAAATAACATCCACTGTGCATACATCCATGTGATTCTCCTAGAAATCTTTAACCCTTCTATCTAATGTATTTTTACATTATATTCACTGCATTTTAGAATACAAAAGCAAGACACATGATTGGTTTGTATTTGGTTAGGTTACTATGATCACTTTCTGAATGAGGTATTTGTTACTGGTAACACATACCATTGCGCTGTGATTGCAGGGATGACACTTACGTGAGGAGGAAGGGATATGGCATACTATTTCCACAGTTATTAAAGACTGGATATGATTAGTACTAGGATCTAATTTTTAGAACTTTGGTTCCAAAATAGATCAAATGTCAATGATCTCAAACGTATTCCATGACACATTTCCACAAAACGCTTCTAATGAATTATGGAGAAATAAGATTAACTTTTCTTTAAAGAGCACAGTTTGCAGTATATATGGCACTAGGATTAATTTAAACAAAAATTCAAACTCATCTGCTGTAAAAGGAAATCATGAACTAGTATCAGGTTTTAATCTACTTCAGTTATACCTGAAGGGCCTTCAACATTGGGACACTTTCTAGCAAAGCCTCATACATCTTCCGCTTCTTAAATGCACTTTTGAGGAGTATGCGGCGGAAAGTTTGCCGGTCCATTCCCCACAATGCGCCCTCTGTAGCTGCTTGGATGGTCGCAGCTCGAGGCATGTTGTACAACAGGGCCAGTTCACCAAAACTACCACTGCCATCATATGTATGGACATGTCGGGGTTCACCACCTAGCTCAGTTGTCACGAATGCATTCAAAGTTCCACTGAAAATGAAACTAATATTAGACTCGTTTCAGGAACACTTATCCAATAGTTTCTTCAAAGCCTGTCCCTGGTTCTTTATTCCAATAGGTTTGTACTTCTACTTCACCGGCCTCTAATTCTACCAAAAGGTCCAAGTCTTTACAGTTTTACTTACATGCTTACAGTATTTTCACAAAGAACTTAATGTCTCATACTTTGGTTTAACAACATTAGCCCACATGTTGGCAGGTGTTACTAGTTCACTGTCAAGCTTTTGCAGTTTCGCTTACCGCTCTATGACGTAGAAATTATCTCCATCGTCTCCTTGTTTGATCACATATTCTCCAATTTTTACAGTCTTCTCAAACATTGCATCCAGGACATCTTGCATTTGTTCCTAAACCAAAAACCATAAAGTCTGTAGGAACATTCTACTGTTAACCTCCAGAGAAAATAATAGTAGATCCAAACAGTATGACCAACTCACTTTGTCTAGTGCTCTGAACAGAAGAATGTGCTTCACACTCTCAGCCAGTCTATCCCTTTGCTCATCAGATTTGGGGTAAACCACCTAATGAAATAAAATTTATACTTTTACACTTTAAAGAATGCAGAAAATTGGACTATCTGGCGACAGCTCAATAAAAAAAGATGGTAGCTCAAAAGACAACCTATATTCGTGAAAAAAACAAACAGAAATTTCAACATGAGGAACAGAGAATATGCATCTAATTCTAAACAGCAGATCCTTGAGAAGCTAATACTATGCTCAGGTAGTTATGAAATACCCTGCCTCTCACAGAACCCAAAGGTTCGTTAGTCTTCACAGTAGCTTCAGCCAGATAAACCCAATCCACACCCTCTAACCATCATTTTCCTAAGATTAATTTTAATATTATCCTTTCCATGCTTAGGTCTTCTAAGTGGTCCTTTCCCTTCAGTCTAGGCAACCAGAATTTTATATGCATTTGTCATCTCCCATTCATACTAAATGCACCACCCACCTAATATTTGGTGAAAAGTACTGATTATGTCTGCTTGGATGTTACTGATTACTCTGATTTCATCACTCCTGTGAGCATTCTGTTTTGCTTGAACTAGCTGACCACATACCAAACACTTGGAAGCTCCTACAGCCCTCAAAGTGACTACATCAAACTTCATGATTTACCTTTGTATTTCTAGGCAAACCAATGGTACTGCTACATTCCCCAATACTAACCAATTGACTACCTACTTACTCCAATATCCATAATCAATGCCACCACTAATTTTGAACCAGTCCATGGTCTACAATAAACTTTAGCCATTTTTCAAGAACTCACCTTTGTACCTTCATCATCTTCCTCATCTTCTTCTGGATTATATGTTTCAGCAAATACCGATTTCCGCCGAGATGAAAATCGCGTCACTGGTGGCTCTGTTGAATATACCAAACTTACATGAAATTTTTATTTCTCATACACAATGTGTTTATATGGTTCTGAATTTCTCAAACTAAAGCACTGATCCATTCTTGTGCCTACAAGTGGGGAAAAAAGTCTTTCAACCCTTGCAATAAATTTATTTAGTACTATGAGACTCATTTCTGAACTCTATTCCTATTATTTTTGGTAATAATTCCACAAATGTAAATAAACACGAATGTCACTACTACCTCATCGATATATGAACGTACAAAAAACATAATTTTATTGGAATCTTTATCTGTCAAAGACTAGATATATCTTACCTTCTTCTGTGGATATGACAGATTCCTCTGGAGAATCCACAGTCTCCCCCAATCTCACAAGATTTGCAGCACGATTTTCCTGCAACTTGTGGAAGAAATCTACTGCATATTCCACAACATCGCCAGGTTGTTCTAATAAATAGCTTATTGTGAACTCAAGCAGTACATCCCGCAGCTCGTCGGGAACGGTAATTCTTCCTGTTTCGTGTCGACTCATTTTTTGCACTAGTACCTACCTTCTATTTCACACTACTGTATAGGAACATTCAATAGTGTAATAATCAATTACGAAAATTCTGTCGCAATTTGGTAACACAAAGTTCTGAAGTCGTTCTCTCTGAAAATCAATGCCGATTCCCGACCCCTAATACCCAGTCAGTCGTCTGTCAATTCCTTCTCACTGCACAAGCCGTAATAAAATTTAGAAAACGAGGTATTATCAGTATAAATATAAACGCATTTAAAATTCTACCATTACAGCCTCGTTCTCACAATCCAAAACTGATAAGAAGATACAATATAATACTATTATTACACAATAGTATAAGCAAATTAACAACTTTCCATTAAATCTAAAACCGTCTGCCCGAGATCCAGAGAAGATGGCGGCTAGTCCCGAAATGCCATTCTCCCGGATCGAACTTAACGTAAAATTGTGTACATAAGTAGAATGCGTAAAAGAAGAAACGTGCGTGATCTGTATTTAAGATGAATTCACGATAATATTTTTTTTAAGATGCATACATGTATGATTTAAAAAGAATAATTTCCAAAATAGTTTTGAGCCCACTCTGACAGACGACAGTAGAACTACGTTCTGGAGAATAAATTGGGGAACAAATTGTGTTATGTACGTTGTTTAATTTCATGTTCGTTTACAATACATTATGTTAGAAAATTATACTATTCGGTCGTCTTATGAAAACAAATAACCTTCAAGGCACTATATTTAATTGTAACAATTACAATTGACTGATTCTTCCCACAGTATTGCACATTCCCACTAATGTTGTTTCAAAATGTACACCTATGTACTTTCTGTTTCTTTGGGATGCCAAACCATGTGAACATTTATAATCAAGACATTGCGTCGGAACTTTATGCACATGTATTACGTTGTTGATTGTAGGAAATACCTCATACCCAAAAATATTTTATTTCAGAAATGCCCATTTTAAGCATGTATATGATCATTTGCTATTTTCCAAACTATTAAATGTACCCAGATTAGCTCATCATACCTCAGAAAACATAACAATATATCACTCTTTGTGCTCCACTACAACTTTTCAGTACTAATGGCCAATTGGCTTTACCATGCCAAGGTTGACAATGCATGCAGAATCACCCTAACTTAAGAAAATTCCTTATAATGTAATTTCCCCCACTTGTCATGTCGATTTCAACGTACAAGATTATGAATGCAAAATTAATAAATGTCACTTGCAATGTTAAAACCACATGCTTGACAACGAAGATTCATACTTTATCATAAGACATAAATAAATGCTTCACCAAGTAGTCACCATGTTATTTTTCATTTTCCAAAATCATGACCTCAACAAACGTTACACATTTTTCAAAGCTCCACCATTATTTGATATTAAAGGAAAGGGGGATGGCTACATGAGAGCAAAGCTTGGAGTAAGACTGCCATGGAAACAAGAAAATCATATAACACTTTTCTTCACCCACAACAAATGAAAGGAATCAAGCTCTGAATAACAGATCTGAAATTGTATTTATTTGCAAGTGAATTTCCAGAATACATTTTGTTTCAGTATAGTCATGTTTATGTCTCCACGCTGTTATTTTTCATCCTTCTCCTTATCATACACTTCCATGATCTTCTCCATTATCTCCCACAGTTTATCTTTCTGCAAGTCATCAGTAAAAACCTACAGAAAGGCAACAGTGATTTGAATGCAGAGCAGTGTCCTGCTGACATTGATACATAAATTCAAAAACTTTAAAAACCACATTAACAAGTATTAGGCCAAACTTTTCATGAAAACAGCTAACTCTACTTCATTGACCTTTTAATGTAATTCTACAAAGAATTTGTCAAGAAAAACCAGACAGTCTAACTGAGAGTATATTGAATTATACTCACACAACACAATTCTCTATCTTCTCCATATTTATTATCAACATGTAGGAATGTGGAAGTTGGGGCTGAATTGCAGACCTCAGCTTTGAGATTGCATCTTGTCACCACAAGCAAAGTAAAATCTTTATCATTGTGGAGAATACCAGGTTCACAGTAAACTGTAGCTCCCTCAATAAGACAGGGAGAAACACAATCATCCACCATGGACACTTGCATATATCTTTCATCCTTGACACATGGTCAGAAACCATAAGAATCAAAAGAGATTAGAAACAAAAAGTTTCTAAACATTTCATGTGGTGTATGGGCCATTTACTCATTAAGACTATAAAAATAATTAAGCAAAATGAAGGACTTACATACACAACCAATTACAGAAAACATGGGAAGTTAACAGCCAACTGGAAAACCCATGTACTTTGAATGCCCTACTTGAGAATTCTATTCCAAATTCTCCATTGTGAACCAAATGAACAAAGATATTTGGGGAGGCCCTACAAATGCTGTAAAGGGCCACTGGGACTAAGACCTAGAAGGTTGATGATGAAGATTATGTAACAAAGTTTAAGTCATTCTTGTGCTAAGCAATATACTATGATGACATTTGAGGAAATGTTGGTAAAGATACACATACTATTAAATTTGATATTAGGTGGAGGTGAATGGTCAGCTTCATGCTCTGCTTGAATGAAGCCACTTTACTGACTGACCTATATAACAATGATGACTGGAATTATTTAGAATTGAATGAACCCTACAAGATACTTACAGAGTACCAAGCTACACCACCATCTCCTTCATCCGTATAAGGAACCTGCACACCATAACACTGAAGAGCCAGATTGATGCAAGCCACTGCCACATGCTGGGGACTGTAGTCAAGTATGGATGCATCAAAATGGAAGTCCTGAAAAACCAAATAGAAAGCCTTAAACATAACCTTAATAACATGGAAATTAAAATAAATTTGTACGGAAAATATACAGACCTGAAGGAAATCATGTCATATAGTGCCATTAATGTAGATGAATGAAATATTTATAATCAAATGGACTTACATAAGCATGTGGAAAGGTTCAGACTGTTGCATTTTGTTAGTACTGAACCTCCATTTAGAGTTAGTTGCTATTGCAGTTTACCTGAAGAAATGCAAATGACGCCTTTGCCAGGGGGATTTTGTTCCACTCCTCTTTTGAAAACCAACCTTCCAGTGACTTCAGGTAGTGCAGTTGGTACTGGAACAAAATAAAGAATCAGAGTAAGTGATGGGCAAACTGTTCCATAGTTCATGATGTTGCCATTTCACTTAAGGAACTTGGAAGAATGATCAAGACCTTGGTTGTTTATACTCCTTTAACACTTGCAACATTATTCTGTAATGCAGTCAGAATTTTCACAAAGAAATGGCATATCTTCTCAGTTACTACTCCATTCCCTCTTGTGGAGACAGCACCCTTCATTTTGAGTTTTAGTGCACTAACAAAATCCACATTTTTGTTACTACAACCGCAAGATTACTTCCATAACCTGATTACCAACAAATGAAAGTGACACTACTCAAAAGACCCACTTCAGATTTACAAGCCTCCCAAATCATCATACCACTCAATCTAACTAACTCAGTAACTCTTAATTACTGAGTGGTAGCACTCTAGATTTGTATCCAGTTTAAATCTGAAATATCCTGACCAAGTGGTTTAACTCCTCCTTTCCACTCAAATAACAGGATAATACCATGAAGCATGACCAAACCACTTCCTTCCAATTCATTATCTTATTACTATTATTCATAATCATTTTTTACCAGAATACATTACATTCCCCTCCTCAAAAACACTGCCTGAAATATTGACATATGCATGCACTTTTTTATGATAGCTTATAGTAAAACACCTAATAAAAATGAATGTGCATGAATAAAATGTGCAATAGGTTTTTTAGTAAGTTTGGAGAAAAAATTTTGCATTATATTTACAGCTGTAAATTTCAGAAACATGTTGCATCATCGTCCAGCAAAACATCTCTTATGCAGAAGAGACTTTCAGTGTTCCAGTTCTTGCATAATTTCTTCTATTTTATACTTCACCTGTCTTTTGACTCCCATTTCATGAACTTGTCCAGCCACTGAGTTGCAAGTACCCAAAAGGAGGTCACAGAAAGAGGGCTAAAACATTGGTGAACTAAATGAATATGAAAAAACATGAGAATAATCAAACTTCTTCTCTGTTCTTACAATGAAAGAATACACCAACCTTGTGTGGATGCACAATTGTGACTTCAAATTTCAGCATCCTCATGATCAGCAATTCTGCTTGAACGATGGCATCACGCATGTTCCAGTATTCATCTCCTAGTTCCAGAGGGGCTGACGCTCTGTGAAGAGTGTTGTGAGTAACATTTATCACATCTCTGATTTTGAGTGGGTCATCCTTTACTTTGCCTGCCAGGTATAGAGCTGTTGCGGCTATAAGCTGGAATCAGGACATTATATACACAGATGTGTGTTTTGCTTTTAGGAATATTTACAAAACTTGCTATCATCATCAGCAAATCCACCCACATGTAACAAGTTACAGTTGCTGTACAGTTATTGATTAAATTTGGTACTGTAATCCTTTTCAGCCATGTTGGTCTGTTACTGCTGGTAACAGATATATGACTGCTCCTGCAGAACCCCCTCCCATTATAAAATGTCATTAGAACCTGTTAAGTGACTCACAGACAGAATATGCACATGATACATGCATTATGCTTTCACTTTAAGCAAAGCACAACAGATAATTCTTTACTCAAATAAATGTCAGCAACTTATTTCTGCACCAAATATCACAATGGTTCAAATCAGAAGACAAACGTTTAACTGATAAAATGGCTGTCTTCTGGGATGTAACATGATGTCTGGTAGTTATTGAGCAGTATGGGTCTTCACCCTGATGATGGAGGTAGTAAGCTCCTATGAAGTGTCAATCAGTATCTACTGGACTACACAGTGCTACGTCCTCGAATACAGTCATATTCAAACCTGCTGGTGTGAGAACCACAAATCTCATGTTTCACTCAGTTAACCTGTTCACAGCAAGGAAAACCACTTTATTTCAGGACCTACTCTGAAGTTATTACTGGATATTATGTAATTATCAACATGCCTTTCATTAAAGAACAAGGAACCTAACTGATGAGATAGTAACTTACATAACTGTCATAACCAGTACTGTCTGTTTCCTTAAAGAACCTGTGATACAAGACAGCAGCAGTTGCTATTGTTAGTGGCTGGGCATCTAGCTTGATACCTGAAACAGCAGAGGAGGAAGGCACAACTAAGCATAACAGTGCTACTATATGTATTTTATGAACAGTGATCATTCCTGGAGCATTAAACTACATTTCTCACACACTCTATTATTTAATTTCTGCATTAATTATTAATTTATTTCATTAAGAAAGTAAATGGGTAAATTTCTTTCCTAGCAGCATGCAGTTCCCATAAGTTCCTAGGTTTGTGTTTTTGCACCGATACAACCTTCACATCAGCAAGGATCAACTGAATATTTCATGATGGTTATCTCCATAGACAAAGGTTCTTTTTGAGATGCTGTTAGTCAGTCATCTAATCAACTAATTCCCTACATCTTATGGAATATGGAAGAGCCTGCCACTGGCCCCAATCCAGAGCCACAAGAACATAGGCTAAACCTATCTTCTTTAAGATCCATTTCAACATCATTCTCTCACATATGTATTGTTCTCCCAAGTGGTCTCAAACCTTCAGATTTTTAAACTAAAATCTGAATACTTCTCATTACCACAATGTGTGGTAAATGTCCATCTAATATATTTAATAATTCTTGCCCTTACCACATTCAAAAATAAATCTCACTGCAATGAAATTGTTCTCTGTTTCTGTGTAGTCCATGGCTGGGACTTGTCTACTCTTCTCTCGCTGGAGTTGCATGACATCAATAACATCCTTCATTTTGATTTCTTCTTGTCAGTTACACTGAAAATTATACATTGCATTATATTAAAAGATCATTTAACCACAGTCTAATTTGTATGTATTCATGTGGTTTCTTGGCAGGCAATTCTTGCTAGCAGAGGCAGGATTAATCAAGCACAGAATAATAACAACAATGGAAGGACCATAACTGGAGTTAGAGGTAGGTAAAGCACAGAATGCACCTAACAATATTAAAGACATCATGCTGACCATGAAGGAATTATGAGATCAAACAGTCATTGACTCTGGTGTTTTGAGGGACCCAAACACAGAGTAACCTCAAACTTGTCATCATTTTCCCCTTCTTCCACCATAACACCTACTGTGAGTATTGAACAGTTTGAAGTTTTTACGGGGGGGTGGAAATGTGAAGTGTATTCTTCTGGGGTTTTATACTGTGTTGTCGTCTATATGCTAAAGAATATTTCAGAGGAACAAATCGCATGATTCCTGTAGACAGACAGTAACCATCTACAATACGAGGCGGCATAACCCGGATTACCACAATCAATACGATACATCCTTGGCTTCGGCCTAAGAAGGATCTGTGGAATGTAAATAAATTCTATTCTACCCACTCTTACACGTTTGAAATATGATCAGATTTTCGTAATTAGAAGAAAACTGTTTTACACGTTTTATTCTAGCCGTTTCACAATATTCTAAAGTGAAGTGAATACCTTCAGGACATTATTATTTGGACATTCAATAGTCGTCTTTATAACCTATTCAGTAATCAACATTGGAGACATTTTCTTTACCTGCAAGTACTGATGTTTGTTTAAACTCTAGGAACCATACGACGTCAGAAATTTTCTTTTCCATCTGTGAGTTGTGTAGCAAAGGTAACCGAAATAATCTGTGATGTCCATGGACTATAATTAATCTTTATTATTGTGTTTCTAACAATTGTGCTAGCCGTGGCCTGTGCGAGTGAAGTATCGGTATTGTAGGAGGTTTGATACGTTTTGAAATTATTTGAATTTCGACGAACTTAAAATAGTGTTTATACCAGAATGGACCGAGAATCGAAGTATATTTTACGAAAAGTAATTTTAGACAGTCTGTGTCTGTTCATAGGTACGGAAATTGTAGTTACATTGGGATTTGTAACTCCACCCATTCTTGTGTGTAAAGGCGTAAACTGATTTGACTAACTAACTAGATGACTTAGGGAACCCGAAGTTTCATCACCGAATTAACCAAAGCCCTCCACCGGATCCTGCCTTGAACCAACAAAATTTCGTCACCATCTACGTCTAGGTCTCCCCGGCAATCTCTTCCCTTCAGGCTTCCTGACCAATAACTGGTGCACACCTCTTGCCCCGTCCGTGCGCGCCACATGCCCCGCCAAATCTCATTCTTCTCAACTTAATGACTCTGACAATATTGGGGTTGGAGTACACATTTTTAAGCTCATCATTATGCAGTTTTCTCCATGCCCCATCATCTTCTCTCCTAGGCCCAAATATCCTCCTCAGCACCCTATTCTCAAACACCTGTAATCTATGTTCCTCCCTCAGAGTGAGAGACCATGTTTCACACCCATACAAAACAACAGGCAGGATTATTGTTTTGCATATTTGAATATTTAGGTTCTTAGAAATCAGGCTGGAAGACAAAATGCTTTGAACTGAAAAGTAGCAAGCATATCTGGAATTTAGTCTCCTCTTAACTCCCTCATGAATATCATTCTGATTTGTTACTGTTGTTCCCAAGTTTTTGAACTGTGTCACACTTTCAAAGGATTAGCCACCCTAAGAGAATTCTGCCCGCCTGTCTGTTGTCAGGATACCAACATATACTTAGATTTTTCTGAGTTTACTTCAAGCCCCACCTGTCTACTAGCCTCTAGTAAAACTTGCCTCTCAAGCAGTAGGAAGACAAACTTCTTTTTTGACTGATTATATTATTCAATCCTGTGGTACTACAGGATTACATGGAGAAATTTATTTGTCTTTCTTTGCACTCTGTGGGCCTCTTTCTGTCTATCATTTCCTTTTGAATTTTCTGAAGGAACAATTTTTTCTCTGCAGTCCCTATGACTCAGTTAAAAAAGAAGTTCTTTACAACATTTTGCTTGAATTTAGTATACATAAGAGCCAGTATAGCTCAGTATAGTGACTAGCTATGGGTTGGATGATGGGGGTTTGATCCCTGACGGGGCAGAGGACTTTTCCTCTGGCCTCTGCATCCAGACTGGCTCTGGGGCCCACCCAGCCTCCCACATACAGCCCTTTCTCAGGGATGAAATGCGGCCAGGGTGTGATGCTGGCCACTCACCCCCATTTAGTGCCAAGGTCGAGAATGAGTAGGAGCTCTATCCCCCCCTCCTCCCCCAAAGCAACCTACATGGCTTGCAGTGGGCTAGCATTACTTTACTTTTTAATTGACCAAGTTCTGTGAACTGTGGTATGAACAGCATACCAGTGGTCACCTCAAGTTCATATCATGAAACCTTGTGATGTGGCTGCCGTGAAGTGGTGGTTCTGTGTTAGTAATGTTCTGTTTAGTGTTTTAAAACATTTGTTTGTATATCAACAGATTCTAAGAATGTGTATAGATTTAATTAGGAAATGAAAGTAAAGTGAGATGTCTGTGTAAAATATTTTAGTCTAATGAGTGGATTGATGAATCACTTTAATGTATTGATTGTGATCATCTGACGTGTTGCATCATATATTCACATCGCTATGAAAACCTCAAATCCTATATTGTAATGAAACTTGAGTAACTACTGCACACCCACTTACTGATAGCCTTTTCTGTTGCCACAGTTTTAAGCTGACTACTCAACTCAGTCTTAAGATGTGTTCACTTGTCCATTAAAACCTATGAGGTGTTGTTCTTTGGAATCTTAACATACTTCATGGCCACAGTGAGCTCTTTTAGTATTCATGTGACTTTATAATACTCATTTAGAATTACACATTTTCTGGCAATTTTTACAGTATACCAAATTAGGGAACACTTTCACTTTAATGGACAGTAACTGGCTCCTTTGACTGCAGTAATTTTTGTGTTTGTGTTCCAGTTGGTTTCCCGATTCTCCTTTTCTTCCTGTTTGGACAACCCTATGAGAGAGGCTTTTATTGTGATGATGAGTCCCTGAGGCATCCATACAAAGACTCCACTGTATCTAGTGCTGTGCTGTATGTGGTTGGGACATTCATACCAATATCATCAGTAAGCTATTGAAATTAAGCTTGTGAAGCAGCTTTTTGTGTTCTGTAATGGCTAATTTCCATTAAACTGTCAAACATTAAAGAAGCTTGATTAAAATATATATAACTATAATTTTAGTTACTGTTTTATATGGGTTTTAAAATTTGTCTCTAACCCTAAGGAAAAATATGGGTGAGGGTGTTTGAGGACACTGCTGAAAAGACTGGTTGGATCTAAGAGAAGGCAATAGCAGAAGGTTGCATAATATTATGCAGTGAAGCACTTCATAATTTGTACTTACTGTTCAGCAGACTTTGTTAGGATTGCCAAATCAAGGAAAATGAGATGGGTGAGGCCTGTAACATACATGGAGAGGTATGAAACATCCAAAAATTTAGTCAAGAGATCTAAAACAAAGAGGCTGCTTGAAAAAATAATATTAAGATGGGTCTGTAGGAAATACTGTGTTAGAGTATGGACTGGATTGCTCTGGCTCACGATAGGGTCCTGTGAACTTGTAATAAACTTTCACGTTATACCAACATCAGGGAATTTTTTCAACAGCTGAATGATTGCTTCTCAAGAAGTACATGTTCCATCGTGCTAGTTCCGTGATAAAACTTGAAAGGGCAGCTGTATAAAGTACTGGATTTTGTATAATTATATTAAAGCCCATGTTGAGTTATGTCCAAAAAAGTATTAATTTAATGAGCCAAAATAACAAACATTGTCCAACCTTCAACAGTGCTTTTGTTGTCTTTCCTTAGTAATGGAGTAACTTAGGAGATAGCAATATATCCGATTTACGAAGTGGATTTATAAAGTAGTATTTCTGTCTGAAAAGACTTGATTAAAAAGAATACTGTTTATACACTTGGGCTATTTTATTTGCACACATACTATCCTAGACATTGTGTTACTAGGAAGGCGTTTCTTATATCTGCAGATGCTGCTGATAGAATATGTCCACTATCAGAGGACAAACAACCACATCACAAGGGCACTATTTGGCAGAAACATTCATCCATGGGTGTGGAACTGTTATAAGGTGATTGGTGTGTTTGGTTTCGGAATGGCCTGCTCACAACTCACCACAGACATTGCTAAGTACACCATTGGACGTTTACGGCCACATTTCTTTGCCGTTTGCATGCCTGATGTGGATTGTTCAAAAGAAGAACACCAATACCACTACATTGAGAATTTCAAGTGTAAAAATACAGACAAGCATCGACTGAAGGACATGAGGTATTGCTTTTGCTTGATACATTTCTGGGGAGGTCATAGGATTGGACTAAATTTAAACGTGGGTGTATTCCTCTTGTACATAAATGGTGAGAGACAAACTTGTGGAAACAGTTATTTTGCATGGAAGTGTGGACCTTGTGAAAATGTATAATTGTATTGTTTCAATATCTATGATCTGGGATATTTTCTTTTTCTTTTTTTATCAAGAGGCATTTGTTTTCCTCATATTAAGAAACTCTGCATGGAAATGTGTGATCGTAACATACAGAGATAATTCTGATTCAAGCACAAAAAATGAAATTTTCAAGAATGCCAATCTGGGAAAAAAATAATAATGGTTTCATATGATATAGTTCTACCAGTTCCAGAAATGACAGTTTTGCATGTTTGCTTCCAGAAGTTTTATTAATTACTGTAGCTTATGCTGTTTTTTACAGCACATTGAGAGCGTGCAATTATAATCTTCCAGCCGTGCTTCCGTGAGCTGCTTTTATATCTTGCATGATGATTTATATTTTCAGGAACTGAACTGTTAATTCTAGACCTTTATGAATAGTAAAGTCAGTAATTCAGATTGGTGCAACAAGACTGTTGACTGTATTTCATGTCAGGCAAATACTGTTTCCACCTTATTTGACATCCTAAAATGAATGTAGATGTTGAAAAGGTATTTAGAAACTTAAATCTGTATCTTTTGTATGTTTGAGAATAAAACCAAAATCCTTGTAGAAAAGGATTTCTTATGCACCTTGCTGCAGTTTTCTCTGTCTGCTTGTTTCATGGAAGGAGATGCACAAACATTCCTTTATCCACTTACATGAACAAGGTGGACTTCCCATTTTACATACTGAACAGGGAAATCCCTTTGACTAAAAGCAATTAAATTGCTTCAGTTGGTTACTTTGGTATTGCATTTCTATAATTTTGCACCATGTTCACATTTTCTTCCATTTAAAATATGTTTACTTTTGCAAAACTTTTTGCGTTAATCTATTATGTTCTGAAACAACATACCAAATTTTAAAAATGAGATATTCTTTATTTACGTTTTTATAATTCCTACCTGAATTGAATACATCTTAGGTTTAAGCAAGACTATAAATATATAACTATGTCCTCTCATTTGTAGGTTGTCTTTCCCGTCAGGACACTCTTCATTCTCAGCATACACAATGATTTACTTAGTGGTAAGCATTACATGTAGTGATGTTATGTTAAGTCTGTGACCTCATTCATTATTATCATAAATGTAACTGGAGAATGATTTTCATTGTTTTTACTTGTGTCAGGGTATAACAAAGAAACAATACTGGAAATGAGATCCCTTTAAAGGATATCAGTGCACATACAAATGTATCTGAAAGGATAGTGATACACATTCAATTTTGCATATAAAAATAACCTTCTTCTTGTGGTATGATGTAAAATACTTTGTATTTGATGTTCAAGTTGCATCCTTTTTTTCTTAGGGTTATTATTTATTTGTTTCTTGGAAATGACCATCCTTTGGTTTTCTTCTTTCCACAGATCAAACAGCAAAAGATGGGTTGATTTCAATTTCTGTACTTGCAGCTGTTAGAATTATATACCTCTGAGGAACAGAAGCTGCTTTGTCACTTTACAGATCTACCTTCAGGGTCGGTTTGTGTGGGAGGGCTCCAAGCTGCTACGTCACTTCTTCCAGTACCTGTGCTTTATGATGGCTGTGGGAACAGCCCTATCTCGCATCTCTGACTACAAACACCACTGGAGTGATGTGCTAGTCGGGTCCCTGCAGGGAGCTCTCGTAGCTGTACTGATGGTGTGTCATCCTATTCATTGCTTATCTGTTATAATAGAATTCAGTTCCTGCATATAAAGACAGCTTTTGCTTTTCATAAAAGCATTTTTGTCAGTCAGTGTATACTTTTCATGGAGTATGAAGAACATGCTTCATCTGCCATTGCCCCTGAGGATTCTCTCTTCCTTCAGGTGGCTTTATTTCCATTGCCTGCAATCAGTAGTGTGTTTCCATGTCCATTTGCACAGTCCATAAGCGTCACTTTCTGAGACTAGGCTCTTGTTGCTCATTAAGCATGAATACAAAAGAAGACACTTCAGAATGTAATATATATAATACAAAAACTCTTACGTGTAATGTAATTACAGTAAAACCAAAATTCAGAGGCTTTTCTTTTATTATTTTCTTACAAGGGAGCTTAATTTCCTGTTTGGCTCTTCCCCCATCTGAGAAGCCATCATCCTGAATGTTAGATAATAGTATTTGGGGGAAACCAAGTTTAAAAATGTCTGGAGCTATATCTGCACTTCCCCATGGGGTTTCAAGGCATGGTGCATGATTAGGCACAGGGATATTACTTTTACCAAGTTCTTGGTTATGTCATAGCACTAGGAAGAAAAATGGAATTTATTATATGAGTATGGATAAAATGTTTTGCAGTTGCCAGAACCCATAACATTCTGTATCACAGAGATGAAGTTTGTTAAATGACGTTATCATTGTGTCAGCTATGAAATAATTGGAAATGAATAGCTACTTTGATATCATTTTTTTGAATCTGAACATATTGTTACAGGCTGTTTTTGTGTCAGATTTGTTTTCTGCTCAACGGTCAAGCCTAACAGTTGCCACGGAAGCAGATGGGGATCCCTCAAATCAATCAGGAAATGGTGGCACCAACAGAATCTGCTAATCATGGCCCAGATACAGGTAACTACTCAACGTTAGTCCAAATTTACATGTCGCATTGGTACTTTAATGAACTGTGCTAGTACACAACTATAATACTTATTTCTGTGTGAGTGTAGATGAGAAATGTAAGTTTTGGAAATTTGAACTCCAAGCCTAGTGCTTCCAGGCTGTTTTGTAAAAGTTGGATAAAACATGTAACAGAAGTCTGTGTGCATAAGGTAAAAAGCAGGAAGTAATGAAAGTGAAGAAATGTTTCTTTTTATGCAGTAGAAAGCTAGCTTCTAAGCACCAGGAGGCAGGACTAGCAACCTGCCTCAAGCTGGGCAGTTCTCTCTCTCTCTCTCTCTCTCTCTCTCTCTCTCTGTAAGGTAATCAAAGCAATTGCTACTAAACAGTGTGCAGCTTTATTTACCTGTATCATGTTTATGTACTTTGTTCATACAGAGGTACAGAGTAATTTTACCTTCTGAAGGCAGCTTAAAGTGTAGCTATTTATTTTACCACTCTGTATTTTATTTTATATAGAACACATTTTACTTATTACTTTATTGCCTTATCTTTATGGAAGGTAAAATTTCAATAATGTTTTGTGGATGTGAAGAGTGAGACCACTCGTGAGTTGTGCTTAATGATCATTGTCATGTTCATTCACTATTTGTTTTCCCTTCCTTTTTTAAAGTAGTTGCCTCTTAGTAATCTGAAGTATAGCACATCTGCTAAGAAACAAAATATTGGCAATCAGAGGTTGATTTGTTTCAAGCTTTGGACTTCTGATAGGGGCTAATCAGTGAATAAAGGTTGAAATCTAGTGTTATATATTCAAGTCAATAATAATTGTTGTGTCGTTGCCATTTTTATTAAAAAGTTGTTTCAGTGTAAGTAAATTCTGTAAGCTAAACAACATTTTTTATTTCATTAATTGCATGTCTTAAAGAAACAGGATGGAGGGTGCAGACTGGGTTTACCAGCTCAGGAAAGGGTGCAGTATTGTTACCTAATGGACCCTTACCTCTTTCTGCCATTCATTTTCTCCCCTGTTGTCTTATTTGCTCTACTTTCTTAGGGTATCTTTCATTTTCCATCTATATACTTGTCTGAGCCATTTGAATTCTGAAGTTTCTGTTTTGTCTTTTAATGGTTTAACATCTAGACTTGTTCTCATCAACTCAGAATGTTGTAACATCAGCTAGCAAATCCCTAGGCCAGCCATAGACTGTTTTTCATTAGTGTCTATGAGTAAATACTGCAGTTCCTTAATTAACAGCTGCATTACCTCTTATTACCAAACTGTTAACTTATAATTTGTTGTTCAAATGTGTATATGTGTGATGTGTGTCTGGAAGCTTTCTCTGTTACTTGCACTAGAGTGTAATGGTACACTGAGAAATTATTTTGTTGCTGCCAAGCTAAAGGGGTTTAAGTCTAAACATTACAACCAAAGTATGATCAGTACTTTACAGCCTGTAAGTTAGCTGAACTGTCACTTGAACCTTGTGTAAATTGCACAACTTTTTTTTTAAAACTAAACAAACATGATATGATCTTTCCAAAAATTGTTTTTCATTTTCTGAACCTTTAGGACTTATACCTATTTACCCTGACACCAACAATTGATTTTGTTTCAAAAAAATCACAAGGTGTTACGTTATAATTGCTTCAAAGTTTTTTTACATGTGGAAGTGCTTTGGTATTTTGTGTTTCTTGTATTGTGGTGTGTTTGAAAAATATCGATAAGAAATATATTGTAAAATTTGTTTTCTTCATTAACACTTTTAAATTATGGCAATACTGCATTGTTCAGAAGGAACTATTTTTCTGCCAGATTTTATTTACATTTCTTCAAGTTATTAAGACTGAGATTTTTGCAATCCAAGTGCAAACCACTAGTCATTTTGAATGCAGTTTGTTGTTCCTTGACATGGAGAAACATGTTAAAATAAATTAACACAGAAATTATTGAAACAGATATAAATTTGTTTGTGATTTGTTATTGGATTTAGAAGCAGGACAGGTGCTGTGTTTAAACATAGAGATTGCTAATCAAAGAGTCCAGTCAGTAATACATGGTCTTTAAGAACTCAACTTAACCTGAATCCTGATCATAATAGCAGACATATGTGAGTCATTCAGGAGGAAAAAACTTATGTTTATTTATCTTTTAACTCATGCCAAATAATGCACCCTCAATTGTTTTCTTTAGTGAAAGTTAATCCATAATCTCAGCTAAAGTTCTCTTGACTGGTTACATTACTGTTTCTCGGAATATGTAATGGTAGCCATACTTCAAAATAATATAGTGATGGTACATTGTGTTACATCAGTGAAATATTTTGTTTGGTTTCCCTAAACCAACTAGTTTGTTAGTTAGTTAGTTAGTTAGTACTTTTATGATTGTCATTCCACCACTCTTGATGTTGATGGTACTGTACCGACATTGTTTTCTTATAGTTCACACTAACTTTTATTTGTTAGGCAAAGCTGTGTTTCATGTCATTGATGTTGGTTTCTGCTCTGTAAACTGTAAGTTGTAAGTTAGAAAACTGTTATTTCAAAAGCTGCATGATGCAGGGTTACTTGAGACTTATTCTTGTTCTTCCTGTGACTCTACAACCCAGTGTGGGTCTTGGCCACCTCCTTTTGGAGGTTTCTTAGTCTTCGAAATGTGCATTTGTGGGTAGTGAGTGACCAGCCCACTGACTCTGCAAAATTTCTACTCAGTCCTGATTTGTCTGCTAGAGTCATCTAGTAGAGAATCTGGAGAGATTTGGGTGAGAAGTGGCTGCTGAATTTTGCTTACAAAACATTTCATTCATGCTCGTAAGGTTCTTTTACATGCCGTTTAATGTATGACATGGGTCCACCGGCTCTACTTCCCCTCTGAAGGAAGTTGTGCTACAGAGTCACAGCCTTGCTTTATTCCTGAATGATGACATACAAACTGAATTTAATTCACATTTCACATTTGAATGCAGTTTCAGATATGAGCTTTACTGTCCCATGAACTTTGTCACAAATGCTAGTTGTTTAAAACTGACATGGGTGGCAGTCTCATAAAGTTTGTGTTGGCTGCTATGAATTGTGGATATTTATGTGTATAATTTTACACTAATTCTGTGTCAGAGTGCAGCTGTATTGAAAATTGGTGTTAGTGTTCTAGTTTTTAATGCAGAGAACATGTATGAAGTGCCAGGAGTGATGCTAGTAAGACACTCAAATGATGATAATACTACTTATATTTGATACTTTATGGTTTATGAGCCACTCACAGCTTTGAAGATGTTGATGTTGGTGTTCTGGGTTGTCACACAGTGTGGACTTGTAGGCGTTCAAGATGGAGACAGTATGTTTTTTTCTTCTTCTGAAATGTAGGTATCTGCTTGTCTACGCAACGTTACAACCAAGAAGACGAACATTGACATCTTTTGATATTTAATATTTTTTGTGTGTGTTTAATATTCCATTATTTTACTGTGTGGCAGTTTTGCTGGTCTTGCACCGCTTTAACCTTTGTAATTTACTCACGAAGCAACTGTTATGTAAATATCCCTTGATTTTTAAAATAGAATTTAACTGTTTATATAGTCAGAATCAATATAATTAAGACATTTCTCACAGCTATGATTGTTAATAACTGTTTCTAGACATAACTGAGGAAACATGGATTGACATTTTGTTATCATATTTTTAAATAGAAGTTGGTGCTGTTTTCCTTGCTGAAACCAGCATTTTTTATGTTAACAGTTCTCACTGACAGTGGCAGTACAGAATAGTTTGGTATTGTTATTGAATTTTGAAATATAAAACATGCATACAAACAAATAATTTTACGCTTTGAAGGATACTAATGCCAAACGCGTTTCAACCTCAAGAGGTCATCATCAGTGGCAAAAACAAGTAATTCATATAATATCAATCAAAAGATTATGGTTTTTAACAGAGCATAAAGGTAAGTTCTTTACAAAATCATATTTGTGTAACACCTCACTGGACGTTGATTGCACAGGAATTGATGTATTATATTGAGCTCTTAGCTATTATGTGCACTTCAACGATGCGTGGATGTTACTGTCAGTTTTTAAAATGTGTAGGGTATATATTAACTCTGAAATCAGGGTGGCCAACTGTTGCATATTTGCTGTTTTCTGTTTATTGCTAGGTCAAATAACACATTGGAGTCATGGGCGTTCTGTCCGTTTATGATGTTTTGGTTTTTGCTAGTTTTATATATATGGAATTTTTCTAAAATGTCAAGCATTTTACCTTTCAAGGCTATTCTTAACACACTCATGATATCTTCCATTTGGCCATATTCATGTCTGTGGTTGAGGATGTGTTGGGTATATTTCAATTTTGTTAAGTTCAATCTAATGTCATGGACATGTTCTTTAAATCTGGTTTTAAATTCCCTACTGGTTTGGCCAATATAGACCTGCTTGCGGTGTCCTTCAAAGTGTAAACAGGTTTGTTTGTATGCATGTTTCATATTCTAATACGGTACACAGTATACAAGGTTTTAAGATGAATTTTGAAAGTTAAATACCGTATTTTCGTAATTTTAAAGATGCAAATGATTGTAAGATGCACCCTTGATTTAATAACAGTTTTCAAGAAAAAAATATGCTATATCAATTCTTAGATGCCATCAGATGTAAGATGTACCCCAATTTCAGAAATTTTAAATTGAGGGAATATGGTCATAGCTCTGTTCTTGCTCTCTCTAGATTCAAGCTATAAAGTCTGTACACTGTTTTATCTGATGCTCTAGGTATGAAAAACAGGTTTTAGCATGTCATTTAGATATATGCATTTAAACAAAGACTGAGCAGTGTTTCATTTTTTGTTGCCTGACAAAGATGAAGGATCTGTGAAAATTTGCTACATTAATAAGTGCAGGCAGGACAAATATATTCAGCTATGTAAATGTTACATCAACTTTAAACTGGCCTTGTTACCTGCAAAAATCAATATACAGGTTGCTTTGTCTGATGTTGGAGTTACGTACATAAGCTTCAGGTCTAAACAAATTGAACATGTAGAAGAGCTTTATCAAAAACATGTTTTATGAAATTCAGATTTGTATTTTCAATATTATATACATAACATTTAAATAAGAATGCACCTTTGGTGTAATGAAAGATTCAAATTGTGCTTCCATATTGTAGCTTCAATTAATGCAGCCCCCACTTGTGATAGTACTGTTGCTGCGGAAGGAATGTGTTCAAAAAGTTACAAATTTTGTTTAATGTTTGATTCATATTTCAGCAGGCTGGAATAATGATATTGATATGAAAATAGATGTGTTTCAGTAAGGCAGTATATGCAGGGTCAAAGAAAAAAATACTGGGCTAAATTTCTTTAGCAAGAGCAGAAAAGAAGATAAGACCACTGTGTTTGGGACATACTTTCCAACCACTTAACTGACTGACTAAGACTGGAAATAGAAAGTTCACCATATTTAATACCAAGACTCACCATTGGATGTAACCTGAGTTATTTCAACCATGAAGATGATTGTGTTTTGGGATGTTGCGCCATGTGCTGTGACAAAAATTAGCTCATGTTTCAAAGGAGCTTGCTGCCTCTGTCATCTCCCTGGTAATGGAGGTAATAATCTCCTTGAAACATCAGTTAATATGTACCAGACAAATGACACGACATCCTGGAAGACAGCCATCTACATACCCATTGCCATGAGATCTTGAAATCTCACCCAGTTCAGCCATTTAGTACATATTGTAGGTAAAGATTTCTGTCTGCTGTAATGGCACTAAAAGTATAACACTTTATACTAATCGGAAAAAGGCATAATTCATATTAATGAGACCATGTTCTTGGGGTGGAAAGTGCAAGTAGTGAATTGTAGTATGTTTGATACTTTAAAATAATATTGATATTGTGTTTTCACATGTGTGATTGGCTGGTTTGCCATTTTTACAACACATTGGGCTGTGGGATATTCATTCCTGTATTTTAATTGGTGGATCCCAAAGTACGAGCAGACCAACGGAATGACCAGGACTTCTAATTTCTACAAAACCCTGGCAAGCCAGACCATCACAGTATGTGGTGTGACTAAGCATAAACAAGTTTTGCATTTATTGTAACTATATGCATGTTACAAATAAGTCTAACATCACTCACTGCTGTAGTTTTATTCAGAAAAGTAATGAGTTGATTGAGCCTGTATTTATTGTATCAAATAGGTTGCAAAGAAAGATTTTGTGCATAGTACATGCACTCTGCTGATTATTGCTACCCCTTTTGCTCATAAGTTCCTATGTCTGACATCCAAACAGTATGAATGCTGCTGTTTGCTTTTAGGCTGGATGCTAAAATGCCAAGTGAAGTGTTGACAAGTGGCACTTAATAATTACTTAAATTTTCACTTGTAACACAAAGGACTGGCATTCACATAAACTGCACATAGAGACTTGCAACCAGGTTTTGTTACTAAAATACTCACTTTTATAACCTTATTATTTCATAAGTATACTAAGTACTGTGATAGCTTCGCTGTCATAAGTGTAGAAATTTCCCCTGTATGATGGGTTTTGCATTTTAGTCACAAAATAGACTTAAACATTAGTTGGAATAAGATGATAGCTGTCTTTTGGTTGTTGGTAAAAATTGAATGATTCAAAGGTGAGAGGCAGTAATCACCTCTGAAACAGCCATTTTTTGTGACACTACACATCACAACATTCCAGAAGACAGTCATCCTCATACTCGCCGCCATGAGAACACTTGGGTATCTCAGTCAGTAAAGTAATTGGATAGTGGGGCAGGGGTTTTTCTGTTTATGATTTGAGGTTTTCACGGTGGTGAGTCTGAAGATGGCTGTCTTCGGTTTTTCTGTTCACAAGCGCTGTATTTAGAGTAGCCTTCTGTCACTATATACCAGATTGTACATCACAGTTAAGTGCTGAGGCCTATAATTCATTAATATATACCTTACATTGCGCTACTTTTACACTTTAATAATCCATTGGATTGTACTAGCTCCAGTCATGCCTGAAACAATTAACTGTTGGCAGGAAATTAACAAGTCAAGAAATGTATGCGTAGAGTGCATTTACTAGAATTTGACCTTAAACGAAATAACAGCTGTAAATTCCACACCCGATCACTTTAATTTGCAAAAATGCATGTGTGTTTACAAATTTTAGTGGAATTGCCCATTATCGCATTTCATGAGAATTCATTTAGCAGTTCTTGAATTGTTTCATGTGTTCAGACAGATGGAATGATTTTAATAGGCACTGCAGAAATAATGGCTTTTCTTTTCATATAAAGTATGACTTTTCTTTCAAAAGCCAGCCATTTTATTCATAATTTATTAGGGCACATACAGAATGAACCCACCTGTAAAATTTAACTCATTTCATATATTATCCTGTTTACCTTTATGTTCCTGTCTGATCCATGTCCTTCTCTGCCCCATTAAACAGGTGGAGAAGCAAGTCGGTCTGTGAATGGTGAACGAACTACCAGACCTCGCATCAGAGGTAAGATTGGTTCAGTCACTGTGCTGTCCTTATTACAGTTTCATAGGCTACAGTTGCTGTAGTAAATAAGAACTTTAATGTTAAAGTTTCTGTGTTTAAAAACTTAAAAGTAGTTTCTTTTAAATGAACACAGCTCTGCATGTTAATGACTTAATACTTACAGTAGTCATTTAACACTGTTGTCATGCTGCTTCATGAGCCGGGATAGCTCAGTCAGTATAGTATAGCTACGGGCTGGACGACCAGGGTTTGATTGCCAACGGGGGCAGAGGATTTTTCCTCTAGCCTCTGCGTCCCGACCGGTTCTGGGGCCCACCCAGCCTCCTATCCAGTGGGTACTGAGGTCCTTTCCCTGGACAAAGTGCGGGCGGGGCTTGATGCTGACCACTCGCCCCCATCTAGTGCTGAGGTCAAGAACGAGTAGGAGCTATACCCCCTCTCCCCCCAAGCACCTTCATGGCTTATAGTGGGAAGTCATGCTGCTGGTGATCCTGAAGACTTATTTGTGTTAGCCTATAACTTGATACTCGGTCTTAGGAACAGCCTCCTTTCCAGTAGGTTTCTCTGCTAATATTCAGTAGACATTTTAGTTCTGGAGCAATAAATTACAAAGATCTTGGTGAGATTGCAGTTTCTCATTGTGATGATGAATATGACAGCTATTTTATGGGATATTGCAACATATAGTCTGGTAGGTATTAACTGATGTTTCAGGGGTGTTTCCTGCCACCATCTCTCTAATGATGGAGGCAGTAAGCATCACTGAAAAGTGAGTATGTACCAGACTACATTGTGCAACTTCCCAAGAAGATGGACATCTTCCCAATTATCTTCATTATTTGATGGTCTCCATTCCTCGATCTAAATTACGTATTGGCCGAATGTGTATATGGGTTTGGCACAGTATGAAGTCTTGTCATAAAGATTAAATGCATGCAGATAAGATAGAAACAGCTGTAATCAGGCGACTTTCTCAATGAAGGGTACACAAGTTGAGTAGAACACTCCTTTGTTTTGTTAATGGTAGACTGCTGCAAGTTTTAAGCTATTAATCATTTTTTTTATTCCCACATCGAAGTAAAAGCACAATGAAAAAACTTACCACTGTGTTTCAGTTTGTATTCTGATTAATTAAACTGTACGAGATAGTTTGTGGGAGGGGGCATGCGGTACCAAAAGGGTTGGCGAACGCTGATCTAGAAGGGATATCGAAGGGGCTGACAGTCTTGAATTACAATAGCAAAACGACATCACATACGGAACGATAACCCAGTTCTTCCTTTTATACTGTCAAATGTGAAATTATTACGTTTATGCTGTAGAACTAGCGTGTGCCGGCATTGCTCATGTTTTATAGTTCGTTGGTTCACAAAAGCAATGTATGGAAATGCCACTGATTGCATCGAAATTAAAAGGGGGAAAAAAAATTCAGTTGCCCAGACGTCCATTGTGTATTGGGACCCCCAGAGACAACGCTGTGCGAATGAATTGTTGCGTTGCTACACTTTGAAAAATGCCATGGCGACACCTTCGAAGTCCCTGCCTATTCACCGTTCAAGGTCGCCTTCTGATCCCTCCGGTGTATGAAATGTGGTTGAAACAGTGTTCGTTAACACCTGAAGGAACAAGGGGCTTCGAAACAGATTAGGATTTTTGGTCATGGTTATTTCATCTACATCGAATTATTAATTTTGGATTCGTAAGCGATTGGTAGGAATACTTTGTGAAGATGTGAACTGACATTATTGTTTATGACGGTTGAAGAACCTGCGGTTTGGGTGGAATTTCTCCACATATTACTGTCAGGTATCCGTGAAACCTTATCTGCGTTGTTCGAAATGAGGGGATCACGTGACCCGTCCTCGCGGTAGTTCTCTTCAGTGACTGCGGTTAGTGGGACCAGCATGGCCACAAGACGAACGTGTCTGCTGAGCGTCTTCATTGACATCTCTTGCGTGCTGCTGCGTGAGTATCGCTGGATGTCCGGTTCGCATATTTGTTTTGCACAAAAACTACAGTTTTCCCTGGCCAGTATGTTATGAGACAACAACAGGATTAAAGGAGCAGATAAATGGAGGGAAAAATAAAATTACACAGCGTAGAGATTGTAATTCACTTTGTTCTAATAAGATTGGCGACGTCAGGAAGCACTGGTAACGGGAACAAAATTTTGGAATGGAAACCCTCGGAAGAGATCTGTTAAACAGCCATACGTAGATGGAACTAAGTAAAACAGGCGGACCGAACTGGCTCACGATTATATCCTTTGGCGGTAATGAACCTTTCGGTCCGTAATATCAAACCGGATAGGATGCTTTGGCGGGTTCAAACGCTTGACACAAGCAATATTATTGCTGTGAGGATTCTAGGATAATTTTGACTACAGATTGAAAAAAAGAGCTGCGCTGGGAGAGACTGGATACCCGAGGCTTGAAAAACAAGGATTTCAGTAAGCGAGGCAGTTGCTGATGTCAGTTTGTGACCGAGCCAGAAACTTTAGGAAGTTTTGAGACAAACAGCTTGGCATGCCTGCCGCGTGTTGAGGAGCACTTGGGTGCAAAGGAGTGATGAAAGTTATCTCCTGCTCGGTATCGCTATCTGGCCGCGTTACATAACTGACGGGACCCATGGACTTGCGCACAAAACATGATACCGGTAACAGCCAGTGGATTGCTAGTAATTTTCCGGCCTTAGCGAAGTGGGGGGCAAAGACAGCCAGCAGATGCAGATCCCAAGTCTATATCGTCACTTCGTTTGCGATAGGCGTGGACAAGGCTTTGGGAGTGAGAAACATCTCGTTCGGAGGTCACGAGGACATTGCCATCTACTCCCAGGTCTTCCTGTGTTTCATTATATGTCACTGTTTTCATATGGCTCTTCAATTCAGAAACACCATACGAGGGCGTTGACTTTATTGTGTAGCTCCTACCACTAAGAGCAACTCAACATTTATTTTGTTACAAATTTGATGTTCTAGTTTTGAACTCACAAAGTCTCCACACTGTGGTCCGCCGACCGGCAGCGGTATGCGGCTAAATTGGTGGCCATTCGAGAATTCTCGTGACCATTATATTATTCTGTATACGACTAGCAATGGCGTTTAACAGCGAATATTCGGGGTTGAGATTGTTAAAAACGTTTCGTGTTTTGTTTTAACAATGGAACTACTTCCAAGTCAGATAAGTGTTGACATTCCGTCCTCTTGTTCCACCATCATGTGACATATTTCTGAAAACAATGACATTGCAGCAGGCACACATCAGCAATGCTATTTATTAGCGTGAATAAGCTCCAAACAGAGAGGAGTCGAGATTTTTGTCATGTAGTGGCACCCGTGTTTATACTTCCAATACTTTACACAGAGGCACTTTTGTTACTGAAGTTTAACATCACACTATCAATTACGTAAATCATAACGGCAGGATGGGGAGAAAGAGGTCAAGGCCTGTTTTGGTGGTCACAGAGGCTGCAATTAAAAAGGTTCATTGTGTTGACATGACACTCCTGTCTGATGTGTTAGGTGCTAGTTCACGCAATGCTGCACAGATATAAGGCAGCACAGTTGCAGCAGCATGAACAAATCTTTCAGTGATCTAATCCTTAATAGCTTAGCAATATGTAGTGCACCTCTTACTGAACTGATATATGCAGACAGACGTGACAAAACTAGTAGGACTTTTTCAAAATCACACAGGACAGGAAGCTACACATCACATAGTCATGTCATTCAACTCTTTAAAAAAACCAAAAAAATAACACTGCAACACTGTTGGTGGAGTGTGATTACTTCAAATGCTGAAGTTTTGAAGTTATATAGTTATCGTGAGGGTGGGAGACTGTTCTGTGCACCTGGGCCACTAATGGGCCCATGGAGGAACAGTGGAATGATATTGACAGGGGAAAACTGAAGAACTCAGAGAAAGACCTGTCCAGTACCACTTTGTCCACCATAAGTTCCACATGGACACAGGTCTCTGTTGAGAAATCCGTGACTAACTATTTGAGCTATGGCACATCCAATCAGAGACCGTATAGTGCTGATTGAGATGCGAAGATAATCACGAGTGATGAGTAGATAAGACTGCGATAGGAGAGAGTGAGGAAAACCACAGTCAGTAAAGAGGTACAAGTGTAGAATGTTACTGCTACATCAGCCATTCCTTATCTTCCAGTGGGTGTCTTCGCACTATTGTTGTACATCCTCGATCAGCCCTTCCACAGAGGCTTCTTTTGTGATGATGACTCCATCCGCTATCCGGTGCCCGCATACCAGACTGTCAGTGGCCTCCTGGTGGGAATCGTGGGGTTGGGTGTGCCTGTGCTTGTGGTGAGGAGACAGGTCCCTGTCTTTTGACATAGTTTCATGTGATTGCAGTTTGCTCTTTGTTTTAAATATCTTATTTTCTTCAGCTTTTTATGGTTTAGGCCCTTTGGCCTGTACTGCTTCAGTGATAACTTCTAATACTGTGAATTCATTTAGACATAAAACTGCTTGGACAGTAAAACTTCATCCACTGTTAGCACTCCTGATTTGAATTTCTCTTTGTTAGCAGACTGTACACACTGAGTGTTTTTGTGGTTTTTTTACTGTTTCTCCAGGATAATGACTAGGTCATGATTGCTTCCTCACACTTAATTTCCATGTCATCATTCAGCAACATATGACCCGTGCAGCTGTTAAAGTCTCATTAACCATTTCCATTCTGAATTTAATTAGAGGATAAAATATGTCTTCATTTGTCTCTGTGTTTTAATGTAAGTCACCTTTAAGTGTCATAGTTTTGTAGGAGAATTTATTTTCACTAATTTATATTTAAAGCAAGCACCCAGTGATTTGGAACAATGGTATGGAAAAAGTTAAATATAGAATATCCTTGTTCTATGCAGGTGGTGGTAATGGAGACAGTGCAATTGGGTATCACCCAGCCCAGCAAATTGGTGCTGTTTGGCTGGACTCCCTATCTGTGGATGGTGCAGTGCTATACCTATGTTGGGGCATTCTTGTTCGGCGCGGGGATGGAGCATGTGACGGTGGAGGTGGCCAAGCGCCTAGTAGGTAGACTGCGCCCCCACTTCCTGGCTGCGTGTGTGCCACTTGGACTGAATTGCAACTTCATTAGCCACAACTACATCACAGACTACATCTGCTTGGGCAATGATGACCTCATCAAGGAGGCCAGGTAACCCTTATGTCTTGACCAGTTCAGTGTTGTTCAACATATGTTTATGTACTGAATATAACTAGAATTAGAATTATAACTGGAATTAGGTTTAACACTTTACTCGTCTAGAGCAGTAAAGGGAAATTCACCTAACTGTGCTTAACACACTAAAGTACATTTAAATTAATATTTATTTCATGGCTATAGGGGATTTAGAGCCTGAAACTAAGGGGATGCCATCTGAACTTTAATATTCTAGTGATATGCTGCTGCGATGCATGGTTATGAGTGGCCAACTGGATCGTATGTAAACAGCAGCAGATGGTTGATAAGGTTAATTAGACTGAGAGTGTCAGTTTAAATTATGCCGCAGAGAATTAAGAAGTTCAAAGGAATAATATAAGACTCATATCTTTTGTTGGTAACACTGACTCAAATTCTAATTTTCTTGATATGTACAATACAGGTTATAACTGTAATTTCGCAAAAACAGAAGAATGATTTCGGAGTTCAAATAGGAGACAGAATTCTTTCATCTTTTTTGGAACACTGTTGGTCTTATGGGGCTCAAAATATAATTTCCAGTTCTTGTGTTATGTATCAAGTTACATGAACCTCTGGGTGAATGAAGTAATGAAACGTCTAACTTTGTTTTGTCAGTAACTGTAATATTAAGTGACTTTTATCATTCTTTTGTTGTGTGTACAGAGACTGTTATTTAACATGGGAATGGCAGAAATGTTTCAGAGTATGACTCATTAATGTTTATAGGAGTTTATTCTAAATGGTGTTTTGAGGAATAAATAAACCCAAATTACATTATGCTATACAGGTTCAGAAACCAGTAATGGTTTTGATGTAGATGTTTATTGCTATTCCCATATCTTATCTTTGTAACCAACTTTTTGTGCACAAAACACTCTTTTCTGTACCATCACAGGTAATCCACACAGGACATAAATTTAATTTCTTTCAACACATACCTGACTTGTCCTGGCACAGTGCATGTTTGTGTATAGTAGTGCAGTAATGCTTTAGACTTTTATTTGGGAAGTTTGAACCTTGGCTGAGATACTGCTTATCTTAACTCAGTCCATGAAAGCCAGTGCTAGAATAGTACCTTCAAGTAGGCTGCATTTTCCTTCCAAATCCTTTTCTATTCATCATTCATAATTTTCTGCCCATTTTATGTTTCCTTATAAAAACCTGCACAGTTGAAACAGCATAATTTATTACCTACATATTAATTGGTTATTGACCCCCTTCATTTTGTTTTGTTTTGTTTGCAGAATGTCATTTCCTTCAGGCCACTCGTCACTGTCTTTCTATGCAGCCACATTCACAATTGTGAGTACTTACTTGTTCTGGACAGCTCAGTAATGTTCTTAGTGTGTTTGCTTTGCAGTTGAAGTCCCTTGTCTCCAAGACAGATAAAAGACTCCTGTTTAACCTTCTTGCATTAAAGTTTATGTTACAAAAATTTACTTATTTTGAGACAACCAGTTAACTGTCTAATTAATCAACTAACATATTTGTATAATTCACCTTGAAAAATATATAATTAAATAGCTACAGTATTAACCTATTCAAGACATTATGAAACCCAAAGATTCAGCACCATCTACCAGTGGATGCTGATATGAGTGAGTCCAGTCCAGTCCAGTTCACATCCCCCAAAACTGTTTCCTCACATGCATATCGATCGTTCAAGCATCCTCTTTCCGTGAAGTTTTCCACCAAAATATTCAGATGCATTTCTTATTTATGCTATGCATGCGTGCCCCCTACTCTTCCTCAATTGTATGAGCTGGAATATCTCAGTCAGTGCAGTAACTGGCTGCAGAGTGGGGCACCAGGTTCTGTTCCTGTGCAGGGCAGGAAATTTTCCCTTTGCCAGGTCTCAGGCCCACACAGCCTTCTATCCATTGTGTTCTAGGGCTCTTTCGCGGGTGTCAAAGTGGTTGGAGCCTGAAGTTGATCACTAACCTCCATCTAGTGTAGAAATAACTGTACTCTCCCAAACGTCTTCCTTGTTTGGTGCTTAGGCACGGGTGCAACTTTACTGCCGAATTTTAACAGTACTAAGTGAAAGTTTCTGAGCTTTTCATTGGTATTTAATTGTTCCGCAGATGTACCTACAGATCCGTATGGCGTGGCAGAGCTCAAAGCACCTCAAGCACTTGCTGCAGTTCCTGGCAATGATGGCTGCTTGGGCCACAGCCCTCACCAGGGTGTCAGACTACATGCACCACTGGAGTGATGTTCTGGCTGGCATTGCCATTGGAACCTTCTTTGGCATCCTCACAGTAAGTGCACCCTGAACCACTGTTCTCTGCATGATCCTACCACTTTCAGCTTACCAACATCCAAACACCAGGATTCCGTTGACTCAGCATTATCATTCATAACTTGCCTAGCCCTTGTTTCAGAAGCACTTGTTTTCATTGTTTCGGTCATTACCCCCTTGAACTCGGGGCATCTTACATAGTGTGAGGATACGACCAAAACTGTTTTAGGAAATCCAGTAAATAAAATTAATCAGACGGAGCTGTTAGGCCTTTGACCGAGCCTGTTTTTCAGCGCCTCGGAACTGAACAGAACCAGATTTACCGTTAGTGAAGCAGTTTTTGAACACCTAAACTGGATTTATTCTGGATACGTTCTTCTGTTTGCCTTCTTTGATGATGGCGACAAACCTTCGGGTTTCGTAACAGATTTCCTTGACCAAGGAAATAAATTTTGAGTGTGCAGAAAACAGTTTAGTACTCTCTTAAAAACAATATTAATAAGTGGAGGTATTTATTAGCCCACATTTTGGTTTCATAAGAGAACACAGGGTTTGTGGTATCAGGACGTGCACGCGTTTTATTCATGTCGTTTCTTGAACCCACAGTCCGATATTACCAGAACTCAGTACAAGTTTTACGCCATCACTACCCTTGAACCAGTTTTATGTTGGTTTTTGTTCTTGTCTAAGGAATGTAATCACACTAACAAGTTTGTTATTGCTTTCCTTATTTCTTATATTAATTGTGACAGATGGGATGAAACCCAGGACCTTTTGAATGCTAGGCTAGTAGAATCATGACTACATTCCCTTTCATCTTGGTACACTATTTAGTAGTGTACAGTCATGGACTGTAAAGGAGCAGTTCTGAGGCTAATGGAAATATATCCCGCTGTGCCTAGACAAGTTAAATTCTGGTCTACCTGCAGGTTGTGTTCAGAACACTCTTATACAGGCAATTGAACACTATAAGCCTGTTAAGTGTACAGACATGTCAAGTTGTGACTGACGTGATTATTCACTTATAAATGTATCTTTTGTCTCTGTTCAGATGGAATCACGTAAAGGGAAGTTAGTCCCGTATTTTCTTCCGAGGAGTACATTTTGCTTTATATTTGTTCTGTACCCACGTACTTGTTAAATACTTTCATACCGAAGTTTCTGTGTGAGATGAATTGTGCCGCCTGCTGTTGTCGCTTCATCGACATCGCTCTTCCTTGTGTCCGTGCATGATGATCACCGGCAGTCATTACAGATCCTGTTGTTTCGTCCCGTGATTCACGTTTCCTTGTGTCTGTGCGTGACGGTTGCCAGCAATGATTGCAGCACTTGCTTACAGATCCTGATCGTGCCCAACCTACACCAGAAGCAGTCGAGTGGCAATTTTATGGAGGTGTTGACTCCCTTGAGGAGACCAAGCCCTCCTAACAACAATGTGGAGAACTTTTCAGTGGAATGCAGTATCCCATGCTAGCGTACATGTCCATTTGGACTGTGTCAAGAGCTTGTGATCTGGAGCACTGGAGTTCTTTTCTACCCATTGATAATTACGTACTAGGCATTAATTTAATAAACAAGATGCGTTATGTCGCACTGAACCCACTGTTGCTTGTCTGTTTGTGGAAAGTATCATCAGCGCTGTGACACTGTGAATATGAACTGAAATTAAAGATGTCCAGCCTTTGGTTTGGCAACACAAATAATTTGCTTGGTGCTATATAATTCTAACTGCACGTTTAACCCCCGAAATTACGCAACCCATTTCGATTAAATATCCTACTAGGGGCCCTTTCTAAACCTTATTGGATAATTTTAATTTTGTGCTTTACCATTCCATTGTAATAAGAGACCCAGATTGACTGTAAAACTGATCCGCAGCACGACTTTTGATTTTGGAGCAACTGAGGAAACGCGTTGTGACGTAACATGGGGCAACCTGCCCCAGTATGGGCATGGCGCGTTCCCGCGACACCCACGGCGATGACGTAGGCGACGATTCGCGGCCCACATGTTGCGTGGACACTGAAACAAACTGAAAACTAGATAAGCCAGGATTTAATTTCACACTTCGTCGAATGGAGATTCACGAATCAACTGCGCTGTTTGTTAACTGTTCCTTTTCAAGCCAGATTTGACAATGCCTCCAAATATGGACCCTAGACTAACCGTTGTTTTGGTTGTGGTTGTGACTTGGTCACCAGAACCTCGTTTGTGAACATGGAGAGATGGCACTGAGGCGCGTCCGATAAGGGTTGGATTCCCTGCAAGGGCTCATCTCTTCGCCACTGCGTCTGGACACAATCGAGTGTAAGGCTGGCAACTTAATTCCATCTAGCACCGGGTTTAAACATGTTTGTAACTTTGCCTCCATTCTAAGTTCGTAATTAAGCACGGGGACAAATCTTTTTGCGCGTTCAGAACGTAAAGTCGCAAAAATTGTCTATTAGCTTCGCCACGTCAGTCCAAGAACTTGGAAGCAATTGAATGGATTTCCATTAAATCTGATGTTAGGAAGCTAAACTAGACTTTGCCAAAAAATTGTAGTTTTGGTTAAAATCGAACAGTAATAACAGACACTTTACATGAAGACCTGCACGTGTTTTTGCTCACATCTGAAGTGCAAGCCGCTTCAAAGGCTATTTTTCGGGGCGAAAAATGAAATTTGTAAAGAAAAATCAAATACGCTTTATCGGCAAGTCTTACGGTCCTTGACAGAACGTAACATTATTTTTATGCTGTCTCTTAACTCCAGCGCTGTTGGGCTGAGTTTAATCTACGTTCTTATTGCGGGTCCTTTCTTGCTCGTCCGCCCCACCTGTTTTGCAATTTTTAAAATCTGGAGCCAGTAACATAATTAAGGAGCTGACTTGAATATGACTGTCTTCTGGGGCGCAAAATCCCAGAAGACATTTTTATACTCTCAACTTGTTTGCCTTTTATACTGGCACGTTAATATATTTTGCCGTAACACTAATGGGAATGATTCAGTTCTTATAGAAGCGCTATAATGCCTCATCAAAGACACGATCCGAACCCCTGTCCCGTGAAAGTCGTCGGAAAACAGTTGTTTGCGCAGCAAATCTGAAACGTGCTAAGGCATCTTGTGACAAGGTCTAGCGGTGCCATCTAGTGGAACGCCAAGCTTCCGGTTTCGCACACAGGAACAACTGCAATATTGCGACTGTACATTGTTACGACGTTCACAACTCGTTACATCACTTGCGCAATAAAAATAATTTTTTTAAAACTGCATTTTTCTCAATTAACGTTTGGTTACTGTGCCTGAAGCTTCTAGAAGCGCTACTATCGCCCACCATAATGAGCCAGTTCTGACCACCTCCCATATTCACAGCGTATTCTTACCGTTATCTCCGTGAACAAAGAGTGATTCCTCCTCTGTCATAATGCCACCCTCAACTTAATGTATTATTACAAACGAGGTTGTAGTGACCGAGTCATGATTGTTATAACGGTGGAAACTGGTGTGAAGGAAATGGCACATCAAATTAGCTTCTCCTAGATTTCAAACGTTCCAAATGGCCAGTTTTAAAGTGATTTTCTCACCAAAACTCTCTATTCTCCTTGAGCTACCTATCCGGCCCATCGCAAACGAAGATCCTTATTATGGAATATCCTTAATTCCCCACTTGCGCCGCTCCGAGTGCTTGCTATAAGCGTTCTTCTGTCAGAAGCCGTGTTTCGCCTGGTTTTGGAAGCAGACATACTTGAAGAGAAAGCGACCACTGGCAGTTAATACTGTGTACGGCGAAACTTTTGTGCTGTGTGCCCCTCTGACCAATCTTTCACGGAACAGATAACTTGGATTAATAATCCAAACACATTTTACAGCAGTTTGCAAGAGCTAACTCCACCTAGCATTCTGTTATCATGCTGTGGACCTTTTATTATTCGCGTCTTTTGTTGACGAAAATTTTACAACAAAAAATTACTGTTTTGCTATGGTTCTTTCTTAAATATATTCGTTATGAAGAAAGTCTGTGCTGCGAGACATTTCTATAGCTGGACTTAAATAGTGGAAGGCCTATCTATGCCTGTACAGTAAAAGATGCAACAGTTATTTCGTATAAAGAAAGGAATTGGTTGGTAAGTAAATGACGGAATAAGCGTTGAATAAATTATAGTCGGTGCGTGGAGCTACTCGGGTACTCCACCGATGTCGGCCGATGGTTGAAAGTCGCGTTGCCCCTCGCTACTGCAGGTGGTAGGGGAACGTGCAGCCTGCCGTCCGCCGTGGTTGGCTGACTGCGACAGTACCGAGGAAGAAGCAGGGAAGGATCATGGCCGTTGCTGCTGCGCTGCCTGCAAATACAAGTTGTGACGTGGCGTGACGCGATGTATCGCATGAACTTTTACGAGAGCACCTGTTTCAGGTGCAATCAGACAGTGTATCAGGTGGACAGGGTCGGTCCCCTCAAGGACTTTACGTTTTTTCACAGCGGCTGTTTTAAGTGCGCGGTGTGTGGTACCAAGCTGACGCTCAAGACGTACTACAACAATCAACACCGTCAGGAGGACAAGGAAGTGTACTGCTGCTCCCATGTGCCCAAAATCGGCCCTGGACACCTGGACGGTTCGGCCGTGGGCATCAGGTCCGCTCTCAATGTTCCCCGCTCCGCCAATGTCGTGAATGAGCAGATCCGGGGCAGTGGGAAGGGCACGTTCGACGCCGAGGCCCTCAACATCCGCCCTCATCTGAACGGGCACATCAACAACAGCAGCAACAACAATGGCAGCCAGCAGACGCAACCTTACCACCAACACCACCACTACCAGTACGGGCGCTTCGACGCCAGCGCCCTACACATCGCGCATGCGCTCAGGGCGACGGAGTTGCAGAAGGCGTACAACAAGGCTCGCGAGAAGCCCATTGATTGTTACTTGGTGAGCTGATATCACAAATGTTATTTTTTCTAACCCTTTAAACCCAGTGGTACCACCTGCAGTAACTCTGCATTTTGCCCCAGAGTGCAAGTACGAAATTCGTTTTATTCTCACTCC